GCTTGGCTGGAACAGATCACTCTGTCCACTTTTCTTCCTTGCTCCTGGCCACACCTGCTTGATCTCCTTGGCTGGTTGCCTCCCTTGCTCACCGACCTCTCAACACTGGAGACCCTGGACTCAGTCCTTGGAAGCTACTCTATCGACCTCCTCCCTGGAGGATTTCCTGCAGTCAGGTGGTTTTATAAACAACCATTTTCTCTCAAACTTCTCAAAACCTGCATCTCTAGCCTCAACCCTGAAACTCCTGTTTACCTGTTCTTCACCATTTGGACGCCTAACAGATCCTCTTAAATTTAACGTGTCCCAAACCGCACTCTCAATCTTCCCCCATAAAACCTGCTGCTCCCAAAGCCATAATTTCTTCAGCACAGGATCTTGGGGTAGACACTTGATGGGCTTGTCCACTGAGTGAATGGCTATTCTCTTTGGGTCTATCCTTGGCCAACTCCAGGTCCTGGAGCAGTTTTATCTGCTCAGAGCTTCCCTTCCTTTGTTTTATAGTTTGAAATTGTGCATGGGATGAAGGCTGAACTTGGGGAATTGGGGTATCAGTTAGGTTTAGCTGCATGTATTGAAAAATTCCAACATCATAGTGGCCTCAACAAGAATATTACTCATATTTTTATAAAAGAGCTCCGGCAACGTGGCTATAACCTTTAAATCCCAGCACCTTGGGAGGCCGAGGCGGCGGATCACGAGGTCAGGAGATCGAACCATCCTGGGCTAACAACGGTGAAACCCGCCGTCTCTATTAAATATACAAAATTACCGAGCATGGGGCGGCAGCCTTAGTCCCCAGCCTACACGGAAGCTGAGAGCAAGGAGAAATGGCGTGAACCCGGGAGGAGGAACGGAGGCTTGCAGTGAGTGAGGAAAGATGGCACCACTGCACTCCAGCCTGGCGACAGAGCGAGACTCCGTCTCAAAAAAAAAAAAAAAGAAGGTCCATGGAGAGGCAATCATGGTTGGATGGCAAGCCCCAAAGCTCCTCAAGGATCGACTTTTCTAGCTGCCATACCATTTCTTCATGATTCACAATGGCTGCCCCACATTCCTGGCCATCACCTCCTCAGCCCAGGTACCAGCTGCAAAAAGAGAAGATGGATATGCCCCTCTCGTTCAGGGAGACTTTCCAAAAGTCCTCACACCTTCTCCCACTTCTTGAAGGTGATGGGAGAACGTAGCCACAAGACCAATGCCCCCAGCTACCAGGGAGGCTAGGAAATGCCATCTTTCCAGTTGGGCAGCAGTAGACCCCACAAAAGTCAGAGTTTTCTTATTTGGGAGGAAAGGGGGAGTGGAGATTGAAAAGCAACTAGCAAAACCTGCCACATGGGATTGTGCTTTAAGCAGAAGCCAATAGGGCGTAAGTGGCAGCAACCCTTAGGGAGACGGCTTTACATCAGGAGAAAAGATATAATTTACCGTAATTAACCATACATTTTTTGAGAGTCTTAAGGTAATGAGTTATCTCCCTAGTGGTTGAGGAGTGATGTGACGGCTGTTTTGTGTCTGATGAATTTAAACCTCCTCCATCACGACATCGTCTTTGTGTCTATAAAATATTTCCTAAGAAAAGAGAAGCTTCAGCCCACCCTTTTTTTTAATGGAAAGTCTTGCTCTGCACCGGGCTGGAGTGCAGTGGCATGATCTCAAGCTCACTGCAACCTCTGCCGCCCCCAGCGTTCACAGCACTTACTGCCTCAGCCTCCCTGAGTAGTTAGGATTACAGGCACCCACCACCGTGCCCCAGCTAATTTTGTTTTATGCAGAGGCGGGTTCCAACATGTTGGCTGTCTGGACTCCTGATCTCAGTGATCGGCCCACCTAACGCTTCCCAAAGTCGCTGGGATTCCAATAGTCTGGGTGAACCACCGTGCTGGCCTAGTCCAGCCCACCCTTTAAAGTGCCTTAAATATAAGATAGTCAAGTCCTGAAATCATGGAGTTAATAAATCAATATGAAGAAAAAGTCCATTAAGCTTGAAATTAAATCCCACTTCCCACATAGATGGTACTTCACATGAAAGCTGAACTTTGGAAGACTCAGGTGGGAGGAATCGCTTGAGGCCAGAAGTTCAAAGAACCAAGGCCTGGGCAACATAGTAAGACCCCTGTCTCTACAAAAAAAAAAAAAAAAATTAAGTACAAAATTAGCTGGGCGTGGTAGTGCACGCCTGTAGTCCCAGCTACTTAGGAGGCTGAGGCAGAAGGATCACTTGAGCTGTAGTGAACTATCACTGAGCCACTGCCCTCCAGTCTGGGTGACAGAATGAGACCCTAAATCAGGAACAAAATAAAATCAGGCTGAGAGTTTGAGAATGAGTGAACACATGAATATAGCTGAGATGCTGAAAGCAGGCGTCAGAAGTGGATGAATTTTAATACCTATTTCCTCCCCAAAGATGTGATTGTTTTGATGAAGTTCTTAGGCTAATTTCAGGGGGATTCAGAATTCAAGCATCTCTTTTCCTGACATCCACCTTCACGTACACCTGCTCTGGGCCAGATTCAGGGTGCAGAGGCCCCGCCCCAGCGACCTTCAGGCCCGCCAGTGAACCAGGGTTCCAGGGGCAGGGCAGGACAATTTGAGTCGGGCTGGACTCCAAAGGGGCTCCTCTCCCCTGCATCCCCATCTTCAACTTGGTTTGTCCATTTTTTCCTTCCAGTTCATTCCTACCAGGTCCGCCCTGGATTGGGGGGTGGGCTTGGCATGGCCCTCTTGCTCTCCTCGACTTGCATCACCAAAGGATGCCTAGGATCATCCTTTCTCCAGAATGCTCCAGCTCCAGGACAGGGGGAGACAGCAGGGAAACTCTTCCACCCTGGGAGCAGCTACCACCACACTCGCGGAGACCACCCACTCTCACCGCCTGCACAGGAAGAGACCCTTTCCTGGGTGTATACCCAGTTCCTCCAGACAGAGCTGTGTCCAGAGCAGATTAGAAAAGGTTGGGGCAAGGGGACCCCATCCCAGGGCAACCTGACCCGCAACGTGAGGTGGAGGCAGGGCAAGAAAACTCATTCTTTAACATTGTTTCTCTAAAAGTAGACTTTTACATTTATTTATTTATTTATTTATTTAACAGGATCTCATTGTGTCACCCAAGCTAGAGTGTGGTAGCACAGACGTAGCCCAAAGCACCTTCGACCTCCTGGGCTCAAGGGATCCTCCCACCTCAGCCTCCCGAGGAGCTAGGACTACAGGCGCACCACCATACCTGAGTCATTCTTTAATTTTTTTTGTAGAGAAGTCCCCAGTTACGCTGTGGAGTTTTAAAAAGTGCCTCAATGTGGCTGACCTTGGCAAAGATGGGGAGTAGGATTTGTGAGCTGTGAGCTCACTGCCTACGGGGAGCCCCCACTGCTCTCTGCAATGCCTGGAGTGAAAGCCACAGGTCCCCCATCCCCAGTGAGCAATGCCCCAGAAAAGTGCTTCCAGCCGCCAGCAGCCTATTGCCCCCTGGCTGTGTTATGGCTGCCTAGATCCACCTACCCACCAGGGTTGGCCATCACGCCCACACTGCACCTCACGGCACCACACCCCTGCCATACTGGTGGCCTGGCCTGCTGGGACCCTCCCGAGGAGAGGAGCTGAATTCAGAGAGAGCAGGGACTTAGGGGAGCCTGTCACAAGCTTAAGGCCCCACCTGAGTGTTCCTGCCATGGCAGGCTCGAGGGAGGGTGCTCACTGGGCCTCCTGGGCCTTTCTGCTCACAGCTGCCGAAGTCCTCACCCCAGAGGCTCAGCTAGAGGGGATCAGAGGAGAGTGAAGGGACACTGAGGCTGCGGCGGGGTGTGGGTGATCTCTCTTCCATGGCCCAGCCTTCCAAGAAGCAAAGGTGTCCTGCAGGGTGGGCTGAGGCAGCTTAGGTGGCAGGTCCCCAGGGGCAGGCCGTGGAGGGGGTGGGAGACCTCAGAGGGTCTGGGCAGCTTCACCCACAAACCTCTCTCATCTTGCCCAGGCAAGCCTGGCTGCAGCATCTACAGCTCAGCATCTGTGGATTTGCAGGTTTAATGGCTTCTGATCTGGTGTCCTCCAAGCCAGCAGCATCACCGTCTCTTCCTTTGCCCTGAATCATCAGGACCGCACTGGCAGAGGAACACGTAGCCAGGCAGCCTTGCTGGTCTCCAGACACGGGGTGGGGGAAGGTGACCCAGCCAGGGCCCAGGGCAGGCTCCCGGGCAGTGACGGTCCTGGCCGTGCCAGAGGCTCATGCTCGCTTTGTTCTGGGAGGCCTGGTCTCCAGGGCCTGTTCTTGGCATCAGGGCTTCAAGCCAGATTTCCAAATTCCAAGCGACCTTTCTTCTGGCCTCCTTAGAGAGAGGCTCCTGCTGGCCTCTGTCCATGCACAGCCAGACTGGTCCCTACAGCAGCCCCTAAAAGGACAGCCCAGCCAGGCGCGGTGGCTCACACCTGTAATCCCAGCACCTTGGGAGGCTGAGGCGGGCGGATCACCTAAGGTCAGGAGTTCAAGACCAGCCTGGCCAATATGGTGAAATCCCATCTCAACTAAAAAATACAAAAATTAGGCCGGGCGCGGTGGCTCAAGCCTGTAATCCCAGCACTTTGGGAGGCCGAGACAGGCGGATCACGAGGTCAGGAGATCGAGACCATCCTGGCTAACACGGTGAAACCCCGTCTCTACTAAAAAAATACAAAAAACTAGCCGGGCGTGGTGGCAGGCGCCTGTAGTCCCAGCTACTCGGAGGCTGAGGCAGGAGAATGGCATGAACCCGGGAGGCGGAGCTTGCAGTGAGCTGAGATCCGGCCACTGCACTCCAGCCGGGCGAAAAAACAAGACTCCGTCTCAAAAAAAAAAAAATACAAAAATTAGCCCGGCATGGTGGTGGGCGCCTGTAATCCCAGCTACTCAGGAGACTGAGGCAGGAGAGTCGCTTGAACCCGGGAGATGGAGATTGCAGTGAGCCGAGAGCGTGCCATTGCACTTCAGCCTGGACAACAAGAGCAAAATCTGTCTCAAAAAAACAAAAAAACAAAAAACAGCCCATGTCAGGCCTCAGGTGGTGCAGCCAGCAGGGAGGTGGAGACATAGGCCCTGGGCTAATGCCATCCCTGGCCAGGGCCAGCGTCACAACTTCTTTCCCTAACTGCGTGATTAAACCCACTCGCAGAACATGCCAGGTGCTCCTCCTGGAGACACCCCTGGGAGCCCCTTCCCTCCTGCTGTGTCCTTGTCCTGCCAGCCAGTGTCACCCTGGGGCTACCTGCATTGCGGCCTGGAAATTCCCTATGACGACAGTCTCTTGGGTTCAGCCCCTGCTTCCCAGGGCACCCCCAGCTGAGATTCCTCTGCATCCCTGACTCTTCCTCCACTGAACGTGTTCAGGGGCATCCCTGGCTCTGAAATATCATGACCCATTCCCTGTGCTGAGCTGCCAGGGGGGCCCTGTCCGCCCAGAAGACCACATCCTTCAGTTCTAGGGCATTTCTCTCTCTTATCTTTCTGGAACTCCTGTTAATCGGGGTTTGGACCTTCAGGAATAGTTCCCTAGTTTTCCTAGTGTTTTCCCCTACTTTCTACAGCTTCATCTTTTTCTACTCAGGGAGATTTCCTCAACTTTACCTTCCGTCTCCTGTTTATGTTTTTAGTTCTGCCATCATATTTTGGTTTCCACAAGCCCTCTCTTTCTCCAACCATTGCTTGTTACTTGGACGCTGTATCTCCTCTTCTCTTGCATGGCAGTGCCTGGTTTCTAGGCTTTTTCCTGCCTTGTGCATCGTTTTCTCCTGGTTCTTTTCTTATGGTTTCTATGTTTCATGTCAGAGGTTTCTCTAAAGTGTCTGGTGACACCTGGCCTCCCCTTCTCTCTGCGTCTTGGCCAGGAAGAGAGGCGGGGGGCAGATCAACATGACCCTTTAGCACAGCCAGGGTCAGCATCTCACCGAGGACCCTCCAGTGTCAGTGGTGGTTGGGGGAATCGTTTGTATTTTTTTAATCAGTCTCCAGCCTGGAGGGTCCAGGTCTGGGGACTGCTACCTGGGGCTGTTCTAGCCTGTTGCAGGGTAGAGGAGAGGTACTCCCACTGTCCCCAACTTTGATGGCCCTTCAAGCCCAGCCTGGCCCAGAGCAGCTGGTCACTCATGGAGCAAGAGGAGGGTGAGAAGGGCCCCCCTCTGCCCGGTGCTGCCCTACTGTCCTGCGTAGTCCAGCCAGAGCCCAGGCCTGCACCGCACCCAAGGATGACGGCGTTTGCTGACAGGCCCCGCCTTCTCTGAGGATAGTTTGGGGGCCACATGTTGTCCTTAGAGCTGGTTCACAGGGTCCCATCCTCACCCTAGGCAGCTTCTCCAAGGTCCCCTGGGAGGGGCTCTGGGCGAGTCTGTCCCCTGGAACTGCTGTGCCTCTCGAGTGTTCGGCGCCCCTGCGAGCCCTCCCCAGGGCCCTGTTCCCCCGTCGTCAGGATGGCGGTGTGGACCCCGGGGACCCCAGGCTCCTTCTTGCCTCAACCATGTGTGATGAGGTCACCCTCACCCAGGACCTTCTGCTCCCTAGCAGGGTCTGACGAAGAAACCGTCACCTTCCCGGGCAAAGCTGAGGGATGCTAAGAGGCTGGCTTGAGAGGTGCCTCTGTTCTCTGCCATGGGCCCCTTGCAGGGGTGGGTCACGCCATCCAGGAGGCATGGCTGTGGGGCCTGAGGGGCACTCAGCTGGCTTGGGTTGTGGTGATGGGGGTCCTGAGGGTGAACTCACCCAGGCCAGCCTGGGATCCTGAGCCACAGAGGCCTGCAGGAGACAGTACAGGACATGAACCTTGGGGTACCTGCCAGGGCCCTCACTCACATCCAGCACTCCCCACTACTGCAGGTCCAGCACCTAGCCAGGGCCCCCAGTCACATCCAGCCTCCCCGCTGCCACAGGCCCAGCACCCTGGCAGACTCCTGTTGCTGCTGGGGAGGATCCTGTCGCCACATCCCAGGTCTGGAGGGTATGACCTGCACCGTTTGTTCTTAGGATCCTGCCCTGAGAAGATGGCCTACTATGGAAAATGCATTGAAACTGTCATCGAGAAACTCGACAAATTTACACCCAAGAGGGACAACCCTGAGCAGTTCCTACAGGCTGTGGCCATCTCCCTGCAGGTAGGGTCTGCCGGGGGCTCCTGGGAGGCTGCGCCAATGGCACCTGTCATGCAGCTGTTCTCGTTAACAGCATCAAATACCTTCCTAACGATTGCCTTCCTTCCAAACGGGGAGAAGCTGACAGTGTTTTCCACAGAGACCTGCTCTTTGTATAGGGAGGTGCTCCTGGCACCCAGAATGTGTGTCAGGCCAGGCTCTGGTGAAAAGAAGCCTTGGCCAGAACCCGGGATATGACATCCACACTGAGGTTCCATCCTCAGTTAACACAGACGAGAAGGGTCAGCCCTGGAGTGCCCCCATGCCCCACCCCCACTTTGGGGGGCATCTTATCTCGGGAAATGGGTCCTCCATCCCCCAGGGGCCCCAGGGCTGTGGCAGTGAGGGTGGGTGAGGTCACAGCTTGTGCTGTATTTGTGGTAACCGAGACTTGGGAATCACTGACCGGGTCTCCGACAGAGGCAGGGGCTGGCCTGGGCAGTGAGGCCCCCGGAGAACCGAGGGCTGCAGGCATCCATACACATCTCCTTCATCTTCCTACCCACACCTGGAAGAAGTCACAGGCCCACCTGGAGGCTGCCCAACTCTCCAGCTCCTGTCCTCCTGTCCCTGGGTTTTCCTTAGAGCTCCATCCTGGTCCTGGCAACCCCTGCAACCTTGGCAGCCCCACCCCACTCAGGGGCCTCCCTGTCACCCAGTCTTGGCTCCCACCCCCAGGTGCTGATCTCACATCTGCCACCTGTCAGTGGCAGGTGCCCAGGGAACAGGAGCTTGGATTGCAGGGCCCCTGCCTCCAGGAATGTGGGACGTGGCTCCATTGGATGGGGCCTCCAGAGGAAGCTGAGCCCACCGGGGGAAATCCTGGGGGGCTGTCTCATGGGCCATCCCGGCCCATCATTGCCCAGGAGCAGAGAGAGGGCACTCGCCCCCTGGAAGGAGGGCGCTCATAGCAAGTGTGCTAATTCAGGCCGCCTGCCTGTCCTTGTAGGCCACAGCCTTCTGTGCTGCCGTGCTCTGGATGAACTTGGCCTGTGTATGCTGCTTTCTGCGTGGTCCCTGGGGGCTGCCCTGGCCATGCTCCAGCCCCAGCCCTCACTACCTGCTCAGACGCACCTGTGCTGTTCCCCGAGGCCACAGTCTGAGCCCACCTTCCCTTGGGGTAGAGTGAGGGGTTCATCCTTCATTAGTTACCCCTGGGACAGCCTCAAGAAAGCCCAGAGGGGAGGTGTTGTGAGTAGGTTACAAAGGCTGCAGGGGTTGGGGCCAAGGCCTCTGCCATAAGAGAAGGCCTGGGCCCTGCTCCCAGCTTCTGGAAGAGGCGCCTCCTCCGGCTGGGGCCTGGCAGCAGCAGGGAGTGGAGAAGGGAGCAGGGCCTGTGTGCAGAGCTACAGGCTTCTGTGGGCACCTCCTTCCCTCTGCTTCAGCACCCTCCGGCCCCCAGCTCTTTCCCTGAGCCCCTAAGCACCGTGGGGAAGTGACGCAGACAGCTGGGGCCCAGATTCATCTACACTCCTCTTCCCACCTGAAGGCCCCAGCACCACGGGCACACCTCTCGTCCCACCGGCCAGCCCTCCCTACACCCGTCCACAACAGACAATAGTGAAGGCCGAGGTCCCCTTGGCCAGAAACCTGTCCTGGGAGCTGGCATCACCCACCCCACTGCCTGGGCCCACCTGCAGCCCAGCCCCTCTGTCCCGTCCAAGAGCAGCTCCAGCAGCTCCTCCTGTCTGTCCCCTCATTTCCCTCGGGATCTTTCCTGTCAGCCACCCGTGCTGCTACTTCTCTCATCCTAAAAACATTTGTTTAAAGTCCTCTGGGCCAGGCCTGGTGGCTGACGCCTGTAATCCCAGCACTTTGGGAGGCCAAGGCGGGCGGATTACGAGGTCGGGAGATCCAGACCATCCTGGCTAACACGGTGAAACCCCGTCTCTACTAAAAAAAATACAAAAAACTAGCCGGGTGTGGTGGCGGGCGCCTGTAGTCCCAGCTACTTGGGAGGCTGAGGCAGGAGAATGGCATGAACCCGGGAGGCGGAGCTTGCAGTGAGCTGAGATCGTCCCACCGCACTCCTGGCTCCACTGCACTCCAGCCTGGGCGACAGAGCGAGACTCCGTCTCAAAAAAAAATGAAAAATAAAAGTAAAGCCCTCTGTACTCCTCTGCGGCTCCCGCGGTCCCCGCCTTCCAGACATCTAACAGACTCCTTGAAGTCCCTGCCAGGAGCGGCAGCTCTTCCTCCACCCTCCCTCACGCCCCTCCCGGCAGACTTCCCCAGCCCTCCACCCACAGCCGGTCTAAGTCGCCCCCCTCCTCCTTGTTGCCAAATCCAGCGGTGCAGCCTCAGCGCCTCTGACCCAGCTGACCCCGCCCCCAGCTCCGGGCCTTCCAATCAGCTTCCTGGGTACCCCCCCACCCACCAGCCAGGCCTGCCTCTCACCCGGCAGCCTCTCCTTCGCCGGCTCGGGCCTCCCCTGTCGGGTGTGCGGGGTGCTGCACACACTCCTGGTCCCCTCACCTGCTGGCTGACAGCTCCTGCTTCTCCCTCATCCTTGACCTCTGCAGAGCCTGGACTCACATCTCCCTGGGTGTACAATGGGCACCTGCCGTGTGACCCGTCAGCAGGTGAATGAATTTATGTGACCTCCCCCAAAGCTGCTGATCCTGGTATCCCCAGTTCAGCCGGAGGCCACTCCGTCTCCCCTTGCTTGAGTGGGAACCCTGGTGCCTCCTGGGCACCCTCATTCCTCTAGCCCACATCTGTCCATCATCAGCTCTGCCTTCAACTCTGCCGCATGTGCACTCTGCTCCAGCGGCACTGGTCTCCTAGTGTTTCTGGAACATTCCACGTGCTCCCCGCTGCACTAGCTGTTGCCTCCACCTAAGAAACTTTCCCCCTGACGCTCTCTTGGCCTGTGCAGCCACACAGCACCTTGGCAGGGAAAGGGAGTGTGTTTACCCCTTCCTCAAGCAAAAAGTGGCAAAGTTCATGCCTTTATTTCTTGATCATAACCATTACAGAAAAATGAGTTTGTTACAACAAATAGTTTGGGTTTGGGTTTGTTTTTTGTAACCCACAGATTATTAATGGTAGATGAGACTAGTTGCTACCTGGCAAGTCACAACGTGACGACCGCAGGTGTGCGTTTCCACAGGGAGCCTGGCACACCGATAATACTAGCAAACTGGCAGAGGCAGACACAACGGATCATCCAGGGGCTGCCCAGCACGGGCACAGATGCTCCCATTGGTGGCAAGGAGGCTTGTTCCTCAGAGGCACTGGTTTTTCAGATCCTTTCTTTTTTTTTTTTTTTTTTTTTTGAGACGGAGTCTCGCTCTGTGTCCCAGGCTGGAGTGCAGTGGCATGATCTTGGCTCACTGCAAGCTCCGCCTCCTGGGTTCATGCCATTCTCCTGCCTCAGCCTCCCGAGTAGCTGGGACTACAGGTGCCCGCCACCACGCCTGGCTAATTTTTTGTATTTTTCGTAGAGATGGAGTTTCACCATGTTAGCCAGGATGGTCTCGATCTCCTGACCTCGTGATCCGCCCGCCTTGGTCTCCCAAAGTTCTGGGATTACAGGCGTGAGACACTGCGCCCAGCCTTTTCAGATCCTTTGAAAAGCCCCTACAAGCCTGAGTGGAATGGTGCGCTGGATCCTGATCCAGTTTGGACAACTCGTTTTCCTCTCCAGCTGTCAAGAAATTGTTGCAACTCACTGATTTTGCCAGGCCAAGGCTCAAGACTGCCACTTGCCAGAAAATTACACAATACATAAACCAAATGGCAGACTCTGGACAGCAGACTGCGGTGAAAGGCAGTGTTTTGGGTTAAATTGTGCCCCCCCCCCAAAAAAAAAAAAACTAAGCCAGGCATGGTGGCACGTACCTAGTCCCAGTTACTAGGATGTCTAGAGAAGGAAGATCCACTTGAGCTTAGGAGTTCGTGTCTAGTTTGGGCAACATAGCAAGATCCCATTTCTCTCTAAAAGAAAAAAAATGAGCCAGGCATGGTGGCTCATGCCTGTAATCTCAGCACTTTGGGAGGCTGAGGTAGGAGGATTGCTTGAGGCCAGCAGTTTGAGACCAGCCTAGGCCACGCAGTGAGACCTTTTCTCTATTAAAAAAATACAAAAATTAGCCAAACATAGTGGCACGTGCTTGTAGTCCCAGCTACTGGGGAGCTGAGGAAGGAAGATTGCTTGAGTCCAGGAGTTAAAAGCTACCATGAGCTATGATTGCACCACTGCACTCCAGCCTGGGTAACAGAGTAAGATCCTAGCTCTTAAAAAAAATGTTGAAATTCTAACCCCTGGTTACCTATGAATATGACTTTTTTTAGAAATACAGTCTGTGGGCCGGGCGCGGTGGCTCAAGCCTGTAATCCCAGCACTTTGGGAGGCCGAGACGGGTGGATCACGAGGTCAGGAGATCGAGACCATCCTGCCTAACACGGTGAAACCCCGTCTCTACTAAAAAAATACAAAAAAACTAGCCGGGCGATGTGGTGGACGCCTGTAGTCCCAGCTACTTGGGAGGCTGAGGCAGGAGAATGGCGTGAACCCGGGAGGCGGAGTTTGCAGTGAGCTGAGATCCGGCCACTGCACTCCAGCCTGGGCGACAGAGCAAGACTTCGTCTCAAAAAAAAAAAAAAAAAAAAAAAAGAAAAAAGAACTACAGTCTGTGCAGATGTAATTAAATTAAGGATTTAGAGATGAGATCTGTTACAAACCACTGTGGGACTGACTAGCCACCTGTCCCTTTGCATCTTGGGTGCACCCAAGGTCAAGTCCAAGAAGACACAGGTTCTTGCTGTGAGAGTAATTGGCTCTCATGCTTTCAGTGTGGATTGCCAGTTAGCTCTCCACGGAGATCCACTGCTGCTCTCTCGGGCAGGTAGGGAGCACTTGTTCCCCTACACCCTCCCCAACCTCATGTGCAGGCAAAAATTGTTATCTCTGCCAGTCAAATAGGTGGGAAAAGTCACTTTATGTTTTTTTTTTTTTTTTAATTTTTTGAGACACTCCCTCACCCAGGCTGCAGTGCAGCTCATGGCCACCTCCACCTCCCAGGTTCAAGCAATTCTCGTGCCTCAACCTCCCAAGTAGCTGGAATTACAGGCATGAGCCACCGCACCCAGCCATCATTTCTCTTGTTACATTTTCCTAAATTTTGAAGCAATATGTATTTCACTTTGAACCATCTGTTCGGACCTGTATCTGTTAGGAAACTGTGTTTGGATCCAATAAAATCCAGAGAAGCAGTAACTTTAATCAATTAAAGGTATCTTTGCTCATATGAGAAGCAATCTGCAGACAGGCAGTCTAGAGTGGCTTCAGCAGTTCCATGGTGCCATGAGGAACTCATTCCATTCCTCTCCACGCAGCCAGCCTTAACACATACTATTGCCTCATAGTCACTAAATGGCTGCCCTACCTCCAGCATTGCATCGATATCCCAGGTGAGGAGAGGGGAAAGGCAAACAGTATAAGGCATGAGCCAGCTGAATCTACCTTCCTTTCAAGGTGCTTTCTTGGAGGCCACACCTTGCAATTTGTCATTACATTTTACTGATTAAAACTGTCACATGGCTCTATCATCAAGGAGAGTTGCAAAATATGGTTTCAGCTGAACATATTACCACGCCCAACAGGACGGCATTCTTTCTGTTAGGTGGGAAGGAGGGTAGAAGGGATGCTGTGTGGCCCTGCAGCCTCCATTTCCTTTGCCTGCTTTTCTAACTGACTTCAGGCTTTGCGGTACTGATGAGCAAGTATTGGTGACATGAATCACAAATCCTGTTGTTAATCAGCCTCCTGGCCCCGCACCCTTCCCCTGCACCCCCTCCCCGCAACCCACCCCGGCCTGGCCCTGGTCTAGCTCTTCCCCAACCCTGTGAGTCCAGCAGACAAGTGCACTTCTGGAGGTGCTAAGAGACCCCTGCAGCGATGGTGAATGCTGGACCCTTCGCTACTGAGAGCCTGCTGCTGTCCCTGGTTGGGGACTGAGGAGCCCTGAACTTGACCAAGGCCCAAGATTTTATCACAGACTCAGAGACTCTTGGGCAGCCACAGGCTGGTCTCAGCGACTGAGGCTGGTTCCCCATTAGGAGCCCACTCCTGTGGCAAGGGCCTCCCCTGCCTCCTCTGGGAGAGAGAGCCCACCTGGCCTAGGCCCATCTCTGCTGGCCGGGTCAGAAGGACCTGGTCCAGGGCCCCTGAGGCATGTGTCACCCCTTGCCCCCAGCCCCAGGCCCCTCTCTGTGAATAGGCTGGGCACCACGTGTCCTGGCGGCCACCAGCCCAGCATTAGTGGCAAGGACCTGGCTGTGGGCCTGGCCCGGCCTGGCATGGACTGGGATGTCATTTACTAGCTTCTCACTTGGCTCTGCAGCTTCCAGGACCCTCTGGCCCAGTGTGGCCCTGCCCAACCCGCCTTGCCTGGGGCTGATGGCACAGGGCTCAAGGCTCTGACCTTATTAAAAATGCATGCTCACACTTCCGAAACACAGACGTCATTGATGAGAAGTGGAGTCGCCGTTGCCTGAGCCGGGGAGGCCAGAGGAGGTTGTCAGCAGCATCCCGCAAAGTCATCACCCTCAGCGGCCATGCTGACTCACTGCTCTCGGAAGGGTCTGTCCTGGCTCCTGGGCTCCTCTGACAAGATGTTTTCAGTTACACGGGGGGAGGTCAGTGCCCTCGGTGTGGGTACAGCCTGGCAACTGCAGGAAACTGAGAGGGAAACTGAGGTACCAACCCCCAGCAGAGCCCCTCCTGGCAGCTCAGTGGGGGAGCCCTCACCCACCGAGCCCCCTCTCCGTGCCCAGCCCCACTCACAGGATGTCACTGGGTCCCCGTGATCTATGTATTCTCTTTCCTCTCTGGCGAGCGCCCAGGTGACCGTCTAGCCAGGAAAGGGACAGTAAACAAGCCATGCCGCGACTGGGACAGGCCATGTCCCGCGAGGACTGGTCAGGAGCACAGTCCTCACAGCCGTGGGGTGATAGTGCCAGGAGGAGGTCGCAGGCAGAGGGAACAGCCAGTTCCCCGATGAGGAAACAGGAGGCCAGTGTGACTGGAAGAGAGCCAGGGCGGGCCGGGGACTCCGAGGGAGCTGGGCATGCCCATGCAGGGCCTCGCTGGCCACGGTGAGGAAGGACGCCTGAGGCAACATCCATCTGAGAAACCTCGCCCTGACTGCTGGGTCGAAAAGAGACTTGAGGGGAAGCAAGAGGAGAGGCAGGGAGAGCAGCCGGGGTCCCCCAGCCAAGGGGCCAGGAAGAGAGACAGAGAGACACGCTGGGATCAGGGAACCGTGTTTACTGCGCCACGAGGTTGGTGGGGGCAGCTTGGGCGGAGCCCAGGAGGCTGGTTTCAGACGCACTCTTGTGAGACGTCTGCCCCAGTATCCAGGAGAGGCCCAGCGGCAGCAGGATCGAGGTTTTTGAGTTCAGGGAGCGGTGCCAGCTGGGGTGTCCATTTGGCAATCAGAATGCTGTCAGCCTTGAAGCTGGCTGCGATCACTCAGAAAGTAGATAACGAACAAACGTCACCATAGGGGAACTGCACCCTGAGCCCCTCCAATATGTGGAGGCTGAGAAGACAAAGAGGCACCCGCAATGGAGTCCTAGAACGAAGGGCTGTCCCCGGGAGAACATTGCTACCAGCTGGCATTCCAGGGGGAGTCCAGAAACCAGTCCTGGCACTCCCAGGAGAAAGGGATTTAAATTTAACACGGGGAACCTTGTGCTTAAAGCTGTTGCAAGGGCTGGAAGAACTCATGCTGAGTCAGTCCTGGCTCCCAGCTGGTCAGGGCACTGCAGGGAGCAGCTGCCCACCACATGGAGTGGGAGAGGCAGGGGCGAGCAGAAGGCTCTGGGAAGCCCAGCATCTACCACCCCTGGGGAACTGAGGAAAAGAGGCGTCCCCCAACCTTGCCCCTGCCATTTCTCCCATAAGTGTGTATCTTGCTAGCAGAGTCCAGGCTGCACCCAGAACCCCAGAGGCAGAGCTGCTGAAGCGTGTAGTTCTCAGGCCTCCAGCCCCTGCACTGCAAGGGCAACACTAGAAGGGCGTGGAAATGGCCCTATTTGCAGAGCAGTACCCAAAATGTTCTCGTTCACATGTGTGGAAACCGAGGCCCCACAAGGTCATGTGGCTTGTCCAGAATGCTTCAGGGTAGCTCGTTACCCTGTTGTTATCTTATTGTAAAAGCAACTGAAGGGCTGGGTGGGGTGGCTCACACCTGTAATCCCAGCACTTTGGGAGGCCGAGGCAGGTGGATCACATGGGGTCAGGAATTTGAGACCAGCCTGGCCAAAATGGTGAAACCCCATCTCTACTAAAAATACAAAAAATTAGCCAGACGTGGGTGGCTGGAGTCTGTAGTCCCAGCTACTCGGGAGGCTGAGGCAGGAAAATTGCTTGAACCCGGGAGGCGAAGGTTGCAGCAAGCTGAGATGAGAAGGTTGCAGTGAGCCACTGCACTCCAGCCTGGGCAACGGAGCAAGACTTCGTCTCAAAAAAAAAAGCAACTGAAGAAATCACAAAGGAAAAGATAGATTTGATCTAAAATAAAAGTAAAATTCCGGCCTGGTGCGGTAGCTCACGCCTGTAATCCCAGCACTTTGGGAGACCAAGGCGGGTAGATCATGAGGTCAGGAGATCAAGACCATCCTGGCTAACACGATGAAACCCCATCTCTACGAAAAATACAAAAAACTAGCCGGGCGTGGCAGTGTGTGCCCGTAGTCCCAGCTACTCGGGAGGCTGAGGTAGGAGGATGGCATGAACCCGGGAGGCGGAGCTTGCAGTGAGTCAAGATCACGCCACTGCACTCCAGCCTGGGTGACAGAGAGAGACTCCGTCTTGGGGAAAAAATATAGATATATATATTTATTGTGGTAAAATACACATGACGTAAAATGTACCACTGTAGCCATTTTTTAGTGTAGAGTTCCCTGCGGTTAGGCACGTTCCCACTGTTGTGCATCCATCACTGCCGTCTATCTGCAGAAGCTTTTCACCTGAGCAAACTGAAGCTCTGTCTGCATTAGGCGACTCTCATGCCTGCCGGCCCCTGGCGCCCTCTGCTTTGCCTCGATGCGGTGGCCTGTTCTCATTAGCTGGAACCTCACAGTACTTGTCCCTTGTGTCATTCCTTGCACTGCCTCATCATCTTTGTTTATTTCTGTCTTTGCCCCTACCTCACCTCACCAACGCAGGAGAATCTGGGGACTAGTCCCTGAGTGCGGAGGCACTGCCAGCTGCCCTGGGGGCCCAACTAACTGGCCCTTAGCAGCCCTGGGGCCGCTCCACCCCTGCCTTTGCCCAAGTTTCCCACCCCCACCGCTGCCCTCTCCTCCCGGCCCAGCCAGGGCCCCCCACCGGCTATTTCTCTTCCAGGCTCTGAGTCCCCAGATGCAGAGCTTTGTTTCGGAGGTGCTGTCTGGGTGCCTCGAGTACCGGAAGCTGCTGACCGTCGTGGTGGATGCCTTCTACGTGGAGGATGGCCGACTCTGCCTGCGGGTTGACCGCAGCCGCTTCATGGGTACGTGCCCGACTGGTCCCCAGGGCCAGGCCACAGAGACCGTTCACTCAGGCTCTCTGCGGAAAGGCCTGGCAGGCAGGCGGCGGGCAGGCGGTGCAGCTCCCGTTCCTGCCCTTGCACTAGAGACTTCCTGGGCCCTCGCCTCACTTGGTCCTCACGGGGCAGACCAGGACCTTGGAGACAGGGAACTAATGCCCCAGGGCAGCCGGACCTGGCTCTGCCACCCCAGTTGAGGGCATCCAGCTCCCAAAGGCAGCCTGGACAACACGAGAGCCTTCCGTAGGCTGACCCCTAGCCACCACTGACCCCAAGGCCTTTGGACAAGATGGACCCTGTGGCTGCAGTCTGGACAGTCCTATGGGGGATTGAATACAAGAGACTCGCTGCCTGGGCCTCCTGTAGCCTCTGACAGCTGTCTGCTTTCATGGGGCAGGACGACCATTGCGAGCCAGGTGGCCCGTGCTGCTGGGGGGCGATCAGGGCAGCCCTGAGACCCTGCACAGGGTCTTGCTGCCCCTGTCCAGGAAGGGAGAGGAGTGGGGCGAGCACTGTAGAGTACTGGGAAACTGAGCGGAGCCGTTGGTGCCAGTCCTGAGCTAGGCTCCTGTCCCCGACCCCTTGCCACCCAGCTGGAGCCTTATGATGGGCAGTGCGTCTAGGCTGCAGGCTAGGGGCCTGTTACAGTTCCTGCCTTGGAGTAAACTTGGGCCCAGGTTTATTCACGTTCTAGCTGGCTTGAGGTGACAACTGAGCTGCTCAGAATTGACAAACAAGTCCAAAATGATTTCACTTTTACCTGGGGAGCCTTTGCAAATTCTGAGAACTTATCAGATGGGATTATTTGACGAAGTGCTTTGCAACCACAAATGCATTGCACTCTAAGACAATGTTGTTTGTGGTCGCTTATCATTTTCAGGTGGGCACCAGAGGGGTGGAGGTTTTCCCGTGGCTGTGTGCCCTGACATGGTGGAGGCCTTGGGCTCCAGTCCCACCGTGCCGCTGGTGCCCCTGTGATGTCCCTGAGCCTCTGACAGGTCCCCTGTTTTCTAGTGATCTGCTACCTAGCCACATTCCTGCTGGAGGAACTCGGCTTCCAGCTGTTCTGTAACATCATCAAGTCCCAACCTGTGGATAAGATGTGCAAGGTGAACCGCCCCTACCTGCCTACCAGGCCACGAGGCCCACGGGTGAGGTCCATCTGATCCTCGCCCACCTTTCACCATTCTGGTTGGTTTTAATGAAAGAAACTCTGGTGGTTTTCTTTTGTATTTCAAAGAAGTAATAAGCCAGTCGTGCTGGCGCCCGTCTGTAGTCCCACCTGCTTGGGAGGCTGAAGCGGGAGGATCACTTGAGTTCAGGAGTTTGAGGCTGCAATGAGCAATGATTGAACCACTGCACTTGGGCCTGGGTGACAGAGCAAGACCCTGTCTCTAAAAATCAAAGAAACAACAACAACAACAAAAAACTCAATGCACACCGACTAGTGCGGCTAAATGCACTGCTTTTGTCCTAGGGAAATCCGATTCCGCTCCTGGGGGGCCTCTTCTGACTTGTAACAGGCCCAGAACAGCCTCTCCTCCCTGTGTAGCTTTAGGGGTCCCAGGGAATTGGTTCGAGGTCAGTTCTGAGGATTGGCACCCCGAGGGGGAGCCTGCGGGAGCCCCCGCCCCTGACTGCCTGGGGCCACTTGCACGGGAAGCTGGCACACACAGGCCTCCGGACCGAAACGTCTGGGCCCGGGCCTGCTGCTTGTGCTGGCTGCTGCCCACTCCCACTGACTGCCCGGTTTCCCCGGGCACTCATCGTGCCTGTTCTTGCTCCATTTTTTTTTTTTTTTTTTTTTTTTTTTTTTTTTTTTTTTTTTTTTTTTTTTTTTTTTTTTTTTTTTTTTTTTTTTTTTTTTTTTTTTGAGACGGAGTCTCGCTGTGTCCCCCAGGCTGGAGTGCAATGGCGCGATCTCGGCTCACTGCAAGCTCCGCCTCCCGGGATCCCGCCATTCTCCTGCCTCAGCCTCCTGAGTAGCTGGGACTACAGGCGCCCGCCACCACGCCCGGCTAATTTTTTTGTATTTTTAGTAGAGACGGGGTTTCACCGTGTTAGCCAGGATGGTCTCGATCTCCTGACCTTGTGATCCGCCCGCCTCGGCCTCCCAAAGTGCTGGGATTACAGGCGTGAGCCACCGCGCCCGGCTTGCTCCATTCTTACAATGACCCAGCGAGGTTGCTGCTACATGGTACTCATCCCAGGGTTGCGGAAACTGGAGCACAGAGAGGATAAGTAATTTGCCCAACGTCACACAGCAGGAGGGTAGCACAGCCAATTCTCACACTAGGCTTTTAGACACTGGCTTGCTCCTCCTTACTCTGCGTAGAGGGGACAGTTTCAGCTGAGGAGAGTCACTCCCTGGAGAAGAGAGTGGGAAAGCCCTTGGGCCCAGACCTTCAAGGTCTCTCTTGAAGGAAGCAACTAGTTCTTCAGGGGGTGTTCCAAGCCTGGAGAAGTGGGAGAGACCTGGAATGGCAGAGCCCACCAGGATTGCAGCCCCAGAGATCTGGGACCGGCGGCTCACAAAGTGCCTCGGCCACCTAACAGGTGAAGGCAGGGAGAGTGCAGCCCCGAGCCAGCACTGTGTACGTCAACGACATGTTTTCCATCCACATGGAAATGTAAGTAATTCATGACGCGTACACATTTGTATAGTTAGCTTAAGCAAGGTCTTCATTTTAATGAAAAAACAGCAAAACTGATGGCATTTTCTGGGAGACACCTGGAGACTGAGCTGGGGCCAGCTTCCCTGGAACCCGGAAACCAGACCCTGGAAACAAGCAGGCACTCATGTCTGCTCTTCTGTTACAATCTTGATATTCTTTTTTTTTTTTTTTCAAAGACCCGGGTGCCTCGCTCTGTCGCCCAGGCTGGAGTGCAGTGGTGCGATCTCGGGCTCACTGCAACCTCTGCCCGCCGCCGGGTTTCAAGTGATTCTCCTGCCTCAGCCTCCCGAGTAGCTGGGATTACAGGCATGTGGCCACCATGCCTGGCTAATTTTTGTATTTTAGTAGAGACAGGGTTTCACCATGTGGCCAGGCCTCGCAAACTCCGACATCAGGTGATCCGCCTGCCTTGGCCCTCCCAAAGTGGCTGGGATTACAGGCGTGAGCCACCGTGCCCCAGCTTATCTTGACATTCTTAATAATTGCTGAACAGGCGGGGCATGGTGGCTCATGCCTATAATACCAAAACTTTGGAGGCAAAGCTAGGCTTGGAGCCAGGAGGTTGAGACCCAGCTGGGCAACATAGAAAAACCTCATCTCGCCGGGCGTGGTGGCTCACGCCTGTAATCCCAGCACTTTGGGAGGCCGAGACGGGCGGATCACAGGTCAGGAGATCGAGACCATCCAGCTAACACCGGTGAAACCCCGTCTCTACTAAAAAATACAAAAAAAATCAGCTACTCGGGAGGCTGAGGCAGGAGAATGGGTGAACCCGGGAGGCGAGCTTGCAGTGAGCTGAGATCCAGCGCTGCACTCCATCTGGCTCCAGGGCGAGACTGCGTCTCAGAAAAAAAAGAAAAACCTCATCTCTACAAAAAAATGGTTTTTTTTTGGTTTTTTTTTGTTTCTTTTTTGTTTTTTGTAGACAGAGGTCTCACTCTGTCACCCAGGCTGGAGTGCAGTGGTGCTATCTCGGCTCACTGCAAGCTCCGCCTCCTGGATTCATGCCATTCTCCGCAAGTAGCTGGGACTACAGGCGCCCGCCACCACACCTGGCTAATTTTTTTTGATTTTTAGTACAACGACGGTTTCACCATGTTAGCCAGGATGGTCTTGATCTCCTGACCTCGTGATCCACCGTCTCGGCCTCCAAATGCTGGGATTACAGGTGTGAGCTCTGTGTCCAGGCCACAATTTTTTTTTTTTTAATTAGCCCTGGCATGGTGTCTTACCTGTAATTCCAGCCACTCAAGAGGTTGAAACAGGAGGATCACTTGAGCCAGGCGTTGACGGCGCAATGAGCCATGATTGTGCCACTCACTCCAGCCTGGGGTGACAGAGCAAGACCTCCTCCTAAATGATAATAATAATTATTATTTATATTGAGGCCGGGCGCGGTAATCCCAGCACTTTTGGGAGGCTGAAGTGGGGTAGATCACTTGAGGTCAGGAGTTTCGAGACCGAGCCTGACCAACATGGTGAAACCCCCGTCTCTATTAAAAATAGAAAAAAATTCTAGCCGTCGTGGTGGGCACCATGCTTATAATCCCAGCTACTCAGGAGGCTAAGCAGGAGAATCACTTGAACCTGGGAGGCGGAGGTTGCCAATGAGCTGAGATTGCACCGTTGCACTCCAGCCTGGGTGACAGAGCAAGACCTCGTCTTTTAAAAAAAAAAAAAAAAAAATTACTGAACAAAGATCCATGTTTTGTCTTGCCCTGGGTCCCACAATGGTGGAAGTGACCCTGGATCAATCTCAGCCTGCAGAGCCCCCAAAGCACCAGCCCAGGACAGAGTGCTCAGGGGCTGCTGCAGAGACTCCCTAGGAATTCAGGGCGCTGGCCGCACAGCACCCTTGAGCCCAGGGTGGTGCCCCCAACACTGGTGCCTGTGCACTTACCAGCTGAGAGAGTCTCTGGAGGCAGGTCCATGGGAACAGCCCACATAAACCCCCAAGGGAACTGCCTGAGGGACTGCCTCCCTCCATCCCACACCCCAGGCCCCACTGGGCCATGCCCATCCCATTGGGGTCCTTCTTCCTACCTTGGGGCTCCAGGAAGAGGCCAGCCTGGGCCTTGAAGAAGGAGAGCAAGCTACTGGGACGCCACCCTGTGGGCTCTCCAGGGAAGCCCCTGGGCCACACCTTGGGTGCTGTCACCACCATGGTCAGCAGTGGTGAGCAGTGACACAGTGTGGCTCCCAGGAGGTAGCATTCCTCACTCTGCAGGGAGTAGCCCTGAGACACCTGTGGGGGGCTGATGGCCCCGCTGGCTCCAGGGAATCCGCCAACTGGCAGAGGGGGATTCAGACCCACCGCAAAGCCCCACCCCAACTCCAGCAGGTTCTGGGTACGGCTGCCCCACCACACCCCAGTGAGGATGGGGGCCTCAATACAGGGCTGGTCCTGGTGGCAGCAGCCCAGCTGAGATATTGAGTGTGGGGATGGGGTTTGGAGATGGAGGGATTGGGTGGGGACAGGGACCAGTGCTGAGTCTGGGGCCATCACCATGGAGCCCCAGACCCTTAGCTCCCCATCCAGCTGGCTTTCGGGAACCTGACTGGACAAGGCCCTCCAAGCTGAGGATGTGCTGCCAGCTTCTCAGGCACCCCTCTCCCCATGGCAGCCCACCCAGGGACCCCGGGGGCTGTGCTCCTCCCAGCTGGAGGGGAGCCAAGGTCCAGGCCTCCAGCACCAGCACCAGCACCGCACATCAGAGTGCCAGGAGAGTTCCGTAGTGACAGTCCCAGAAGCACACCCTGCACGATGGCCTTGGGGGCAGGGAGCCACTGGGGGTGCTGGTGGCCTTGGGGGCAGGGAGCTTACTGGGGGTGCTGGAGGCCTTGGGGGCAGGGAGCTCACTGGGGGTGCTGGGGGTTTTGCCCGGTGAGGGATTGGGCCCACAGCTCCAGCCCCGTGACAGCCCCGCTCCACCCCAGTTCCTTAGGTTCTTCTTCAACCCCCTGCACCTGTGCTCGTGGATCAAGGACGAGTGGAGCCTCATCTACGAGCCGGCCCACGTGAAGGAGAACTGGCTCGACCCCCTGATGAGGTGGGCTGGATGCGGTGCTCTGGGGGCCCTGAATGGCATCTGTACCCCACTCCAGGTGCCTCCACAGGCACAGGAGCTCCACGTTCCCCTTCCTGCTCCCAGAAGCTCTATGAGTGTCAGTAATCACTCCGTGTTGGGATGAGAGCTTCGGAGAAGCCCCAAGTGCCGGGCTGGCCCCACAGCTTCGGCGCGGAGGAACGGACATGGTCCAGCTGCCCAAGGGCCAGCCTGGGTTCCCTCCATGCCAGGCAGCTGACACGTGGTGGGTGGCTGAAGGCCATTTCAGGACTGGCTGAGTGAATGGGGCAGAGCTGACTCTTCTGCGCTGGGGCCTACGTGCTGGCTGGGGCTGCGTTGGTGGCTCTAGTCCTGTGGGGACCCTGCAGGGCCCTTGGCCTCTCTGCAGATCCCAAGAGTGCAGAGTAAGGGTGGGGGTGGAGGGAGCTGAGGAAGCCACAGATCAGTTCCTGGTGGATTCTGGGGTCCAGATCTGTCTCGGGATCCCCAGGGCCATGTCCAGGCCTGCTGCCCTCATGCTGCCCTTGCCGCCTTCTCCTGCCTCCCCAGCAGGCCTAGGGCAAACTCCAGGGCAGGCCAGAACCCCCACGCAGAGGGGTCAGCACAGTCACTAGGGCCCTGCCTTGTGCTCCATGGAGAGGCCCACTGGGGCCTGGGTGCACCTGAGGGGCCCCCCGGTTTTTTCCTTTCTGATAGGACTGAGGGGAGCCACTTTGTCTTCCTAAGGACAGACAGACAGACTGTTCTGGCACAAGCAGACCACTTAGGTGCCAGCTGGGTGCAGACGACCTAGAGGCCCGGGGAGATGGAAGCCCCTCCTGTGGGGAGAGGAGGCCCTGGAGATGTCCCTTTACCAAGGGGAAATCCCCAGTCCCAGCCAGCCCACTCCTGGCAATCAAGATAAACCTCCAAAGGAAGGAGTAGGAGCAGCCCTGCTGGTGCCCCTACCTTGTGCCCCAGGCTGGACTCACTGCCTACTCAGGGGCCCCCATGGCCTGGGCCTGCAGGGTTGCCTCTGGGAAGCTGCTCAGCTCAGTTCCCATGAGCCCCTCTTCCTGCGCCACCACCCCCAGTCGGCTTCCTCTGCCTGCTCTAGGACCAGCCCCATCACAAACCTCCTGCCCTTCTCCCCAACCTGCCTCAAGCTGGGAGCACTGGGGCCTGGCCCTGGAGAGACCCCCAAGACCCTCCTTGCTATGGGCCCTGGACCATGGCTTTTAAGGTGAGGCAGGAGCTATTTCAAGCCATGCCCTCTGCCGCCTGGGAGCCCACATGAGAGGACACTGGATAGGCTGGTGATGGCGGGTTGTGCCCATGCAGGGTGTGGGACATGGAAGAGGGAGCCCCAGACTTGGGCGGCCTGGCAAGGCCCTTCCCAAACCCCTGCTCCAGAGCACCCCCACCCAGAGGCTGTACCAAGTACAACTGGGCTCCTGCCCTGCCTGACTCCACAGCTCCACTTCCAGGAGTCACCAACAGTGTAGTTCCAGAATGTTCCTTTCCAATCAGCTCCTTTCTCCACTGCTGGCTTCCATCTGCTCCGGCCCAGATTGGCTTCCTGAGTCCTGGCGACTGCTTGTCCTCAGAGCCCCTGGATTCCTGCAGCAGGGCTGTGCCTGTCCTCTCAGCTCCCCACTCACCAGCATGGCCCAATGCCTCTGGGCCTGTTTCCTGTATCTGTACAAGGGGACTGCATCTGTATATGTTTCAGGGGTGTGGTTGACAGTGTGTGTGCCTACAAGTAGAAGGCACTTCGTGAAGTGAGGCCATCCACCCCACTATCACCTCCACCCCAAGGTGGATCCAATCACCTGGGAGCCTTTTGTATCCTAAAGGCCATCGCCTTATTGAATAGCTTACGGAGTGACCATAAGAGGCGTTTCCACTTTTGCCTTCAAGATGGCAGCCAAAGGTCCAGGAGTTGATCAACCACCTGGAGGGCATGTCTGCCAGTCAGTCCTCTCCTTTAAAGACCAAGGCCAAGGTCACAGAGCCCAAGGAATTCAACCTGACTGCCCCCAGGCCTCGCACCATTCCAGCGCCTGAGCCAGTCCCGGTCGTGGCCAAGCCAAGACCAGTGAGTGTGGGCATTCTCAGCGGGCACCGGCTTGCAGGCATCAGGGTGGCCAGGCTGGGAGAGTGGACTGTGTGGGCCTGTGGGATACTGGGCTCCCCGCAGGGCTGAGGGTGCACTGAACTAGACCAGGAACACTAAATGACCCCACCCCACCCCCACCCCCACTCCCCACAGAGAGGGAAGCGCCACACACTGTGGTCCTCTAAGTAGGTGTTGAGTGGAGCTGTCAGGCCATGGGGCTCCGACCTGTCTGGAGTTGGAGCTTAGAGCCCACTTTTAACTCTGGCGTATTGCAACACCCCCTCCCCATTAAGTATGACACATAGATAACAGCATACTCTTTGGGCAGGCCTAGAGACTCTTTCTCTCTTTTTCTCTCCCCACTGCTGACTTATCAGTCAGGATGCTTTGTATTGCAAATAACAGAAAAATGCAGCTCAAACTGGCTTAGACAATAGAGTACGGGCTCTACTGAGTGAAGTAGGATAGGCTTCAGGCATACGTGACCAGGGTTCCAGCTCTGCTTCTCTGTGGCTCTCTGTCCTAGTCTCCTCTGTAAGTCTAATTCATCTTTGGGCTAACTTCCCTGATTATAGCAAAATATCCTCATTTGCCACCACCTATACCATGAGAGGACACCTGGGGCCAAGAATTCTTTGGAAAAGTCTGACTGGACCAGCTTAGGTCTCATGCCTGCCTAGAATTGATCACTGTGATCAGGAATATAATGTCTTGACTGGTCACGGGCTCTACCCCAAGCAATGGACTGAGCTTCCCAGAACCAACAGGTTCTGCAACAGGACTAAGGGATGTATGTGAGGGGAAGGGGATGGTGCTGGGAGGCCCCAGAGTCCTGCCCCACTTCCGCTATCCTTCAGGTCTCATTAAAATCCCTCTTCCCAGAGAGGCTTTTCATGAATGCCTCAAACATGTCAGGTCCTTCACTTAGTTTCCTTCTCACTGATCCTGGCTCCTTTTCTTCACAGAATTGGAGTTTAGAGTTGTTTAGTAATTTGTGGACCTGCCTATTGTCTGCCTCCTCCAGCAGACATCATCCATCTTATTTGTCCCATATTCTTTTTATTTTTTTATTATTATTATTATTATTATTATTAGAGACAGAGTCTCGCTCTGTCACCCAGGCTGGAGTGCAGTGGCGCAATCTTGGCTCACTGCAACCTCTGCCTCCTGGGTTTAAGTGATTCTTCTGCCTCAGCCTCCGGAGTAGCTGGGATTACAGGTACCGGCCACGACGCCCGACTCATTTTTATATTTTTAGTGGAAGTAGGGTTTTGTCACGTTGGCCGGGCTGGTCTCTAACTGACCTCAGGTGATTCACCCACCTCGGCCTCCCAAAGTGCTGGGATTACAGGTGTAAACCACTGCACCTGGCCATTATTTCTCCCATATTCGAATATCTGTTGGATGGATGGGTGGACGGATGGATGGATGAATGGATGGACTATCAGATGGATGGTAGGTGGATGGGTGGATGGATGGATAGATGGATGGATGGATGATTAGATGGGTGAATGGATAGATGAATGATTGGATGGAAGAATGGATGGGTGGATGAATGATCAAATGGATGGACGGGTACATGGGTGAGTGGGTGGATGGATGTCAGATGGATGGATGAAGAGATCACCAGGTAGATGGATGAATGAGTAGATGGATGGGTGGGTGAATGAATGGAGGGATGGGTAGATGGATGGATGGGTAGATGGATGGATGGATGGTTGGATGCACAGAAGGATAAGTTGATGGATAGATGGATAGTCAGATGGAAGGATGGGTGGGTGGATGGATGGAGATCAGATGGATGGATGGATGATAGATGGTCAGATGGGTAGATGGATAAACAGATGGGTGAGTAAATGGATGGGTGAGTGAATGAATGAATGAGTTGGTAGATGGATGGATGAATGGAAGGATAAGTGGATGGATAGATGGATGACTGGATGGATGGATGGATGGATGGATGGATGGATGGATGGATGGACACATGGAAGGATAAGTGAATGAAGGTATGGATAAATGCATGCATGGAAGGATAAGTAGATGGGTGGATGGATGGATAATTGGACGATGATTGTATAGATGATCAAATGGGTGGGTGGGTGGGTCAGTGAATGGGTGATCAGGTGAATGGATAGATGATCAAATGGATGAATGGATGAGTAGATGAATGGGTAAGTGAATGAATGGATGGGTGGGTAGATAGATGGATGAATGGATAGATGGACAGATGGATGGACAGATGGGTGGATGGATAATTAGATGAGTTTATGGGTGGATGAATGGATGAACACATGGGTGAGTAGATGAATGAGTGAGTGAATGAATGGATGGGTGGGTAGATGGATGGATGGATGGATGGATTGGATGACTGGATGGATAATTAAATGGTTGGATGGGTGGGCAGGTGAGTGAATGGATGACCAGATGGATGGATAAATGATCAAATGAATGAATGGGTGATTAGATGGATGAGCAGATGGGTGGGTAGGTGAATTAATGGATGGGTGGGTAGATGGATGGATGGATGGATGGATGGATGGATGGATGGATGGATGATTAGATTATGGATAGATAGATGGATGATCACATGGGTGAGTAGATGAATGAGTGGGTGAATGAATGGATGGGTGGGTGGATGGATGGATGGATTGTTGGCTTCATGAAGGATAAGTAGATGGATGGATGGATGAGTGGATGAATGGATGGGTGGATAGATGGATGTATGGATGGATGGATAGAGGGATGGATAGATGGATAGACGGATGGATGGGTGGGTGAGTGAGTGGGTGGGTGGATGATCAGATGGATGAATGATTAGATGGAGGTGGATGAAGGATGGATGATCAGAGACCTTGTTGCTGAGCAATCCCACAGTTGCCCCATCTGTATAATCTTCAGCATTTCTGACCCCATCTCCTCAGGGCTCAGTGTGTTTGTCTCAGGTCATGCTGCCAGCTTCCTCTCTCTCTCTCTCTCTCTCTCTCTCTCTCTCTCTCTCTCTGCCAGGCACAGCCCCTGCCTGGGCCCTCACCATGCCCTCCCATGCTCTATAGCTGTGTGCTTCTCAGTACAATCTGTGAGATGTTGGTGGACATGTACCTTCTCTGCATCCACAGGGTGGCTGTGCTGAAACTATACTCTACCCTCCCTACCCTGTCCCATGCCTAAGACATCCTTCCCCTTCAGGGTTGAGGGCCCACTGGAATTCACTCATTCATTCATCCAACAGATAGTTACAGAGTGCCAAGTGTATGCCAGGCACTGTGACCTCATGAAGCATGCACTTCAGTGGGGGACGCAGACAAAATCAGGATAAGTAAAACATATGTTGTATTAACTGGTGATAAATGCTGAGGAGACAAAAGGATGCAGACAAAGGAGATGAGCATTGGAGCGGTTGTGATTCTAGATTGTGTGGCCTGGAAAGGCCCCCCGAGAAATGCCATGGAGTAAAAATCCAGAAGTGAGCAAGTCAGCCATGGGGTGTCTCAGGGAAGAGCATCCCGGGCAGGTGCAAGGTGCAGGCAAAGGCCCAGGGCGGTGCCCACCCCCCGTCAAGTGTTTAAGGGCGGCCAGGAGGGGCTGGAGTGGAGTGAGGCAGGGAAGAGGGAAGGCGGGGTACCAGTCTGGTCACACATGCACTGGAGGGAGCAGAGACAGGACACACTGAGGCAGGCTGGCGCCAACACAGGGTCCCTCCAGCTGCGGTGGCCAAGGAGGGTGGTGAGAGGCAGTTTGTGGAGGTGTCTTGGAGCAGGTGGGCAGGAGATGAATGTGGGTGTGAGAGACAGGTGACAAGGAGGACTCTGAGGCATGGGTGAGGATTGGACAGCAGTTGTGGTCAGTGAGGCTGAGGGAGGGCTGGTTGGAGGAAGATGAGGGTTTTAGGTTTGGACAAGTTGATTTTCCATGACTGTTAGATGTGCAAGGGAGAAGGCATGGAGTTAGGAGGGTAGATACAGCGGTCTGGAGCTGGGCCGGCCTCCGCCTGCTCCTCCATGGACACAGCTCCGGCCATGTTATCGGAGCCTCTTGTGACTGGACTCGGGGATGTGGTCCAGCCGCCCTGTCCTCTGCAGTGTCCCCTCCCCACAGCTTACTTTGCAGGGGTCTGTGATATTCTCCCAGCCTCTCCTGCCCTGGCAGCCATCTTCTGCCTGTCTCCCAGTGTCAAGGGAACTGGCTGCCCTCTTGCTCCTACCCACCCTGGCCATCCCATGCTGGCCGATGGTGCGCCCTTGGTACTGCTGGCTCACGTCTTACCCCACCCACCCCATCCCCGGCCAAGCTCCAGACCCCGCGCCAATGACCAGCCTGACTTCCTTCCCTTTACTTCCAACACTGACCCACCAGCACCTAGCAGTGTTAGCTCCAGCCCTGCTTCTCCTCCAGTGCAGGCTGCCACCACCCTCCCCTTCATCTACATCCACCAAGCTGTTGGCCCTGGCATTCGTGGGCCCCCTCCCACTCGTAGCTGCTGACCACAGGCTCTTCCTCCCACCACTTCAACAGGTCCCCCAGAGCACCTACCAGCCACCCAAGGAGCAGCAGCAGCTGGAGATGGTCAAGAGGCACAACCGCCGAAAGGCCGAGGTGAGCTGTGTGCGACCCCTGCCTTCCTAGAGACCCCACGTGGGGGATGTATGAAGGGAAGGTGGGGTGGGGAGAGGGAGGAGGAGGCAAGAGGGGAGAGACTGGGTGGAAGCTCGTCCTCCCATGGCCTGGAGGACACTGGGCAGAGGCTGGTGGAACTGGAGCCGCCATGTCACTGTGGCAGGAGCTGCTGCTGAGGGCAAACATTGAGGAACTGCGCTGCGCCATGCCCAGGTCCTGCGGGGAGCCAGTGCAGGTACCGCCCAGCTCTCTCAAGACCCATCATCGAGGTGGCATCTTCTCAAGCCATCAGAAAGTTCCTCCCAACATTATCGCAGTGACCACTTATGTAGCCTTTTACCACTGAGGGCCAGGGAGGGGCGGATTCTCAGTAACACTGGGAAAGTGCGCCTTGAGCCCACTGCGGTGTGGCCCCTAAGCAGGCGGGTGTAGATGCGCATCCACATCCCCTGGGAGGAAGCTCACGGGAAAGCACCTGCAGGTGCTGCCTCTTGGTGTCTCCAGATGTTCTGTGACGAGCATTTCATGCCTCTATAAGGAAAAAACAAACCCAGGTATGTTTGCCAATAAAGAAAAAGCAAAGCGACAAGGACAGGAGAGACTGTGCCTGGCGGGGTTCACTCAGGAGCACGGCCTCACTGGGTGGCAGGGGTCCCACCGTGAGGGCAGACCCGGGGTGGGCAGCCCGCATGGTGCATGCCGCGGGGCCGACTTGGCTGAGTGCTCAGAGGGGTGGCCTTTGCAGCCACTCCACTCACTGCAACTTGCAGTGCCCACCTGGGGTGTGTTGGCAAAGCAGCTGGAGGCTGGGCCGGGAGCAGACAAGCTTGGGGAGAGGCCATGGGGGCCAGCCAGACCCCAGCTCTGGGGGTGGCTGAGAAGAGAGTCACTGAGCCCTGAGGCCAAGTTGTCCTGACTAGAAACCACTGTTCCCAGGCCCACAAGCCCTGCACCCTCCCTGTTCCAACCTGGGTGGAACCCCAGCAAGGTTTGGGGGGGCATTGGAAGACAGAGATGCTGACCTGGGGTGGTGCTAGGAATAGGCAGCTGCAAGGAGGATGAAGAGGAGTGAGCCAGGCCTCCCCAGGGTGCTGGGCCAGCATCCACCTGGTGTGTATTTGGGGGCACCCAGCAGGCACAGGTGCCAGGCGGCCAGCTCTGCCCTGACTCCTGCAGGGCTCCAAGCAGCAGCTGCGGCTTCAATTCCCACCCCGAATCCGAAAGACTCCGAAGCTGACCTTCTATAGGGTGAGGGATTCTCCTGGATGGTCAGGCTGCTGTCCCTGGGCACCCACCCCTCCAGACCTTTTCTGTCCCTAGAGGCTCAGATGACCTGAGCTGGGGGACCCAGAGTCTCAAGGACGGCCCCACTCTGGGGGAGAGGGAAGCACCTGGGCAGGGAGTAGGTGTGAAGGGCACCTGGGCAGGGGGTAGGTATGAAGGGCACGAGGGCAGGGGGTAGGCATGAAGGGCACAAGGGCAGGGGGTAGGCATGAGGGGCACGAGGGCAGGGGGTAGGTGTAAAGGGCACCCGGGAAGGGGGTAGGCATGAAGGGCATGAGGGCAGGAGGGTCACTTGTTGCTCCCAAAGGTCCCCTCAAGTCCCCACCACAGCCAGTCCCCACTCCACAGCCCGACAATGTCCCGGTCAAGCTGAACACCACAGCCATCCTGCGAGAAGGGGCCTTGTACCAGCGGCAGGTGGAGCAAGAGCTGCAGAGGTGAAGGGTGGCAGGCCCCCCACCTGCCTTCCATAGCATCACCCTTGGGAGCAAAGGCCCAGAGGAGGGGCCTGGGGGCTGGGCAGCTCCGTGGAGAGGGCTCAGGGGTCACAACAGGCTGTGGTCCTGCAGCGGCAGGGGCGACAAGCAGGACTGTGTCAGGGTCACAGGTGCACCTTACAAAGATCATCCCGGCTCATGGAGGGGCATGAGTGGGGGTAGAGGAACTTAGCAAAGGCCCGACCCACCCCAAACCTCCCTTGGGGTTACCTCCTCTCCGGACCCCTTCCCGATGCCCCCCCCCATCTCCTAGACCACCAGGGCTGCGAACCCCTGTGCTTACCCCACGCAATGTGGTCATGTCTTTCCTTGTCTGCGAGTCAGGCTGTGGGGGGAGCATGGGTGCCTGACCAGATGGTAGAGTGGACGCACAGATGGTGCACAGGGGCAAGGGTGGCCAGGCCAGTGGAGGACAGAAGGTTGATGGATGGACAGATGACGGACACAGGGTTGGTGGGTGGACAGACAGTTGGACAAACAAGTGGATGAAGGGAGGGGTGAGTGGATGGGGCTGATGGGTGGATGGTGGGTCGGGGGTAGGAGTAAGGGCAGGCCACGCAGCTGGGTGTCAGGAGTAGCAGCCCACGCCTGCGTAGCCACTGTCCCCCAGGAAAATCTGTGGCCACCCAGTAGCCTCCATCACGGGAGGAACCCCAAGTTGTGCTTCTGTCCCTCTTTGCCCAGGGTTGATAAGCTCGTGGATGGGGCTGGGGACTTCTCTGAGTTCCTTGAGTGGCAGAAGAAGATGCAGGCGAAGGACCGGGAAGAGCAGCTGGCTGCAAGCGAGTGCCGGCGGTTGCAAGGGAAGCTTAGCCATGAGGAGGCCGTCCTGGCCCGGCAGAGCCTCATGCAGGAGAACAAGCAGAGAGTGGAGCAGCAGAAGGAGCAGGTGGGTGCCATGCGGGGCAGCTGGGCATGGGGCAGCCAGCTGAGCTGTGTGCCCACTGGGAGCTGCAGGGCCGGGACTGGCAGCGGAGCCGAGTGTCCACAGCACCCCCGTAGAAGCTACTGATGTGTCGGTCCCGGCTCCTCTTCCTCCTCGAAGGACACACTGCCTAGGTAGGCACTCTCAGCCTGTGTTCCCCGAGAGTGCCTGCTCCTTCCAGTGGGCCTCCCAGTGGCCTGGACCAGCAGGGAGCCTCAGCCCCAGGACGCCAGCCTGTATACTCTCTCCTGGGACGTATCCCTTTGCAGGCCTGTGGTCAGGGGCTTGATCAAAGATCACTTAGATTGTTTCTTTTGATAGTTTTGCCTGTGTCTGTATTCAATTTTTAAGGTCTGCCTTTTCTTTCCTTTTTACTTTAAAAAAGAAATATGGGCCGGGCGCGGTGGCTCAAGCCTGTAATCCCAGCACTTTGGGAGGCCGAGACGGGCGGATCACGAGGTCAGGAGATCGAGACCATCCTGGCTAACACGGTGAAACCCCGTCTCTACTAAAAAATACAAAAAAACTAGCCGGGCGAGGTGGCGGGCGCCTGTAGTCCCAGCTACTCGGGAGGCTGAGGCAGGAGAATGGCGTAAACCCAGGAGGCGGAGATTGTAGTGAGCCGAGATCCGGCCACTGCACTCCAGCCTGGGCGACAGAGCGAGACTCCGTCTCAAAAAAAAAAAAAAAAAAAATATGAAGGTCAGGCCAGGCATGGTGGCTCACACCTGTAGTCCCAGCACTTTAGGAGGCCAAGGCCAGAAGATCACTTGAGCCTAGGAGTTCAAGATCAGCCTGAGCAACATAGCAAAATCCCCACTCGGGAGGCTGAGGCAGGAGAATGGCATGAACCCGGGAGGCGGAGCTTGCAGTGAGCTGAGATCTGGCCACTGCACTCCAGCCTGGGCGACAGAGCGAGACTCCATCTCAAAAAAAAAAAAAAAAGAATACAAAAACTAGCCGGGCATGGTTGCGCGTGCCCATAGTCCCAGCTACTCAGGAGGCTGAGGTAGGAGGATCACTTGAGCCTGGAAGGTCAAGGTTGCAGTGAGCCATGATCATGTCACTGCATTCCATCATGGGCGACAGAGTGTAGCTGTCTCAAAAAGAAAACAAACAAACAAACATAAAAATGAAGTCCAAACAATGTGAAAAAGTAGACTCAGAGAAGTCTCACCTCTTGTAAGTCTATAACTTACAATCCATTTCCATCTTCCTTTGTAGGTCCTTCCTTTCATGAATTTCTGGATTACCTTTCCCGTCTTTCAAAGCAAATAACACCCTTGTATATATATACTTTTTCCTTCCCTTTTTTGTTACATAAAAGGTCACATTTTGCTTTATCTGCAAAGAATAATGTGCAAGGCTTTCACCTTTGCAGAGCTGGATTTTCAGGATAAACTTCTAGAGGAAGTTACATTTTCAGATGTCACACCAAAGAGTAACTGGATATGCGGGAGTCCTCGTTTGGGACGCGTGGTTTTACTGAATATGGCCAATCGTCTCCCTGGTACTTTTATTACCATCTTACTCCCCCAAAGTGTGAGAGGAGTCTGATCCGCGTGCCCCAGCACAGAGTACCAGGCTGAATTCGTGAATTTGTGCCTATTTCATGGGTGAGAAATAGTATCTTGGTATAGTTCTGATTTCCATCTCATTTATTTATCAGTGAATTTGAGCAAATGTCCACATGTATAAGTGATTTCTGTGTCTATTTCTGTGAACGGTCTATTCGTGTCTTTTGTCCATTTTCTATTGCACTTTTGACCTTCATTTCCTTGACTTTTTTTGGTTCTTTATTTCTTTAACTTGACAAATGCAATGAATTATGATTTATGATATATAAGCTTTTTTTTTTTTTTTTTGAGATGGAATCTTGCTCTGCGCCCCAGGCTGGAGTGCAGGGGCGCAATCTCATTTTCACCTGCAAGCTCCACCTACCAGGTTCACGCCATTCTCCTGCCTCAGCCTCCTGAGTAGCTGTGGATACAAGGTCCGCACCACTATGCCCAGCTAATTTGTGTATTTTTAGTAGAGACAGGGTTTCCACCACGTAGCCCAGAATGGTCTCAATCTCCTAACCTCGTGATCTGCCTGCTTGGCCTCCCCTAAAGGTGCTGGGATTATAGGCATGAGCCACCGCACCTGGCTGATTTATTTATTTATTATTTATTTATTTATATTTTCTTTTCCTTTTTTTTTTTTTTTTTGAGAAGGAGTCTCACTCTACTCGCCCCAGGCTGGAGTGCAGTGGGTGCCATCTCGGCTCACTACAAGCTCGCCTCCCAGGTTCACGCCATTCTCCTGCCTCAGCCCTCCAAGTAGCTGGGACTACAGGGCGCCTGCCACCATGCCTGGCTAATTTTTTTTTGTATTTTAGTAGAGAAAGGGTTTCACTGTGTTAGCCAGGATGGTCTCAAACTCCTGACCTCGTGATCTGCGCACCTCGGGCCTCCCCAAAGTGCTGGGATTAACAGGCGTGAGCCACCCGGCGCCCAGCCTCCTTTTTTTTTTTAAGATGGAAGCTTGCTCTGGTCGCCCAGGCCTGGAGTGCCAGTGGTGTGATCTCGGCTCACTGCAACCTCCTGCCTCCTGGGTTCAAGCAATTCTCCTCTCAGCCTCCCGAGTAGCTGGGACTACAGTGGAGCACACCATGCCTGGCTATTTTGTTTTTTGTTTTTTGTTTTTTCTTTTTTGAGACAGAGTCTTGCTCTGTCGCCCAGGCTGGAGTGCAATGGTGTGATCATGGCTCACTACAACCTCTGCCTCCTGGTTTCAGAAATTCTCTTCCTCAGCCTTCTGAATAGCTGGGATTATAGGCATGTGCCCACCCATGGCCCAGCTATATATATATACTTTTGTGTGTGTGTGTGTATTTTTAGTAGAGATGAGGTTTCCACATCTTGGCCAGGCTGGTCTTGAACTCCTGACCTCGTGATCCACCCACCTCGGCCTCCACAAAGTGCTGGGATTACAGGCGTGAGCCACCGCACCTGGCCTAACATGATCTTTTGGAATACGAATACATTGTGAAATGGCTAAATCAAGCTAATTAGCATATGCATTATCTCATATACTTATTTATGGTAAGAACACTTACAATGTACTCTCTTAGCAATTTTTCTTTTTTTGTTGTTTTTCTTTGGTTTTTTTTTTTTTTTTTTAGGAAGGAGTCGTCACTCCATTGCCCAGGCTGGAAGTATCAGTTGGGTTGATCTCACCTCAGTACAACCTCTGCCTCCCAGGGTCAGGCGGTTATGCTGCCTCAGCCTCCTACGTAGCTGGGACTACAGGTGCACACCACCATGCCTGAATAATTTTTGTATTTTTAGTAAAGATGAGGTTTCACCATGTTGGCCAGACTGGTCTCAAACTCCTGACCTCAAGTGATCCATCCACTTTGGCCTCCCAAAGTGCTGGGATTACAGGCATGAGTCACTGTACCCACCCACAGTTTTTCTTTTTTGAGACAGGGTCTCACTCTGTCGCTGATGATCTCGGCTGATTGCAACCTCTGCCTCCCAGGCTCAAACCATCCTCCCACCTCAGCCTCCCTAGTAGTTGAAACTACAGGCGTGCACCACCTTTTTAGGAGAGACGTGGTTTCACCTTGTTGCCCAGGCTGGTCTCTAACTCCTGGGCTCAAGTGATTCACCTGCCTCAGTCTCCCAAAATGCTGGGATTATGGAAATGCGCCTCTGCGCCCAGCCTGATGTTCTTTTTATGTTATGAAAAATAATCTTTATAATATATTGTTGCAGATTGCTTTTTTTCCAGTTTGTCATTAGACTTTGTATATGAGGCTTATGATGTGTGTTTCCCATGCAAATATTCTTTTTATGTCTTCAAATTTAACATTCTTTTCTTGTGTTGTGTTTGGAGTTAGAAAATGCCACTCTTGGCTGGGTGTGGTGGCTCACGCCTGTAATCCCAGCACATTGGGAGGCTGAGGCAGGCCGATCACCTGAGGTCAGGCATTCGAGACCAGCCTGGCCAACATGGTGAAACCCCATCTCTACTAAAAACAAACAAACAAACATTAGCTGGGTGTGGTGGCGCACCAACTAATTACTCCTGAGTAATCCCACCAACTCAGGAGGCCGAGGCACGAGAATCGCTTGAACCCGGGAGGTGGAGGTTGCTGTGAGCCAAGATCATGCCATTGCATTCCAGCCTAGATGACAGAGTGAGACTCTGTCTCAAATAAAAAAAAGAAAATGCCGCTCTTCTCACACCAGGTTACAGAGGGATTATCAGGCTTCTCTCCCGGTCTAAGGATGTCCGGCTACACGCATTCATGTGACTAATACTTTTTCTTACTAAATGAACTAGATTAGGTGGCCCGAAATATTTGAAGTAAAAAGAGTCTTAGTTTTTCTTATGCAGCTTATATTGGACTGATTGCTTTTACAGCCTCAATGTGTTTCAGTGAACTGTAACTTTTGTTTCTGCTTGAGGTTCTAGTACCACAACCTGACTCATGGGCACCCTTTCGTCTCCTCCTCTGACCTTTGGGCACTGCTCGAGAGTCTTTGGAAGCATCTTTTCCATTGAGAGGAGAGATGTTTGGGGCCTACCTGAATGTTCTCTGCTTAAGACACACAGACTCAGTTATTCTCCAAGGAACCTCCGTGCCTCATAGAAGCCAGTATTGAGTTCCCTATCTGGGTGCTTTTCTGTTTTTTTCAACAGTTACCAGTTTTTTGGGTTTTTTTTTTTTTTTTTCGGTTTTTTTTGAAGATGGGGTTTTTGCCATGTTGGCCAGGCTGGTCTCGAACTCCCGGCCTTAAGTGATCCACACGCCTCGGCCTCCCAAAGTGCTGGAATTACAGTCATAAGCCGCCATGTCTGGCCTACAGTGACCAGTTTTAAAGTACTCTAGCAATGGGGCTGGAAAAGGATAGATTTTTAAATTACGGCTGGATGCGGTGGCTCACACCTGTAATCACAGCACTTTGGGAGTCCAAGGTGGCTAGATCACTTGAACCCAGGAGGTCGAGACCAGCCTGAACAACATAGTGAGACCCCGTGTCTACAAAAAAATGTTTGTTTGTTTGTTTGTTTTTGAGACGGAGTTTCACTCTTGTTGCCCAGGCTGGAGTGCAATGGCATGCTCTCGGCTCACCATAACCTCTGCCTCCCGGGTTCAAGCTATTCTCCTGCCTCAGCCTCCCGAGTAGCTGGGATTACAGGCATGCACCAGCTAATTTTGTATTTTTAGAAGAGACGGGGTTTCTCCATGTTGGTCAGGCTGGTCTTGAACACCCAACTCAGGTGATCTGCCCACCTCAGCCTCCCAAAGTGCTGGGATTACAGGCATGAGCCACTGTGCCCAGCCAATAACTTGTTTTTTAATCTGTTATCACTGTGACATTAACCCAGAATAGCTGTACTAGTATCAACACTAAACTCCTGGGTAAGCAATGACATTTCATGTTTTGGTTGTCATGGGTAATCATTCTTTGAATACTTTTTTTTTTTTTTTTTTGAGATAGGGTCTTGCTCTGTCTCCCAGGCTGGAATGCAGTGGCACGATCATGGCTCACTGTAACTTCAACCTCCTGGACTCAAATGATCCTCCCACTTCAGCCTCCTGAGTAGCTGGGACCACAGGCATGAGCCACCAGACCTGGCTAGTTTTGTATTTTTTGTAGAGACAGGGTCTTACTATGTTGGTCTCAAACTGCCAGGCTCAAGCAATGCTCCCTGCTCAGCCTCCCCATGTGCTGGGATTACAAGTGCGAGCCGCTGCAGCTGGCCCTGGGAGAACATTTTACTGAAGTCTTCAGGCAGATTGTTTCATCAAGCAGCACTTGCATCTTTTTTCCACTTGATTCTGGTCACAGAAATGCTGTTCTATGTGTTCTCCCTTCATTTGAATTTTGAAGGTGCCGGTGCAGGTAACTGAAAGCTCGGGCTTGGTGCAAGCTTAGTAAGCAGCCAGTGCAAGCCATGCTCTGTGGCAGGAAGGAGGAGGGAATGTGTGGGAAACCTGGTGGGACGTCCACAGCAGGCCCAAGGATGCATGTGGCTGCCCCGGCCCCTGAGTGACGGCAGGCAGGACCGTGGGTCCAAAGTTGATGTCTGAGTGGACCCAGCCTGGCGTGTGACCTTGGACTCAGGCTCTGAGGCTGCTCTCTCCGCTGCTTACTGCCTGGGAACCCTCGCCTTACTGTGAGCCTGGCCCAGTGACCACACACTCATAGACTGTCAAACACCTATCCCTGTCCACCACTCCCGGCCTGTGGGCCTCTTTTCCTTCTTCCTCTGCTCATTCCTCTCTGCCGACTCCCTAGTCTGTGCTGAGGCTGGTGCTGTGGTTGATGGGGACACTCTTTCCTGAGCGCTTGCTGGGTGCTGGCCCAGCACCCAGTGCACCTGAGGAGGTGGGCGTGGCCATCTTCATTTCCCCGCAAAGAAACTGAAACCCAGAGAGGCACAAGATTTGTCCGCTGCCAGGGAGCTACCAGGGTGGCAGAGGCAGAACTTAGCATCCTGTGTGTCTTACTCCCAAGCGGGAGCCTTATCGGTGGACTGCTGCTGCCTCCCTGATTCCACATTCCCAAAGAGCCCGGAGGCACTGCCGCCCTCTTCTGCACTCCCAGCCTGAGGCGCCCAGCCGTCTCCGAGCCGTGGCCCCTGGCGCTGTGGCTGGGGGCGGAGGGCCGGTGTGGACCGCCTCTGTTCTCTCTCTGCTCATTGTCTGGTTGACTGAGATGGGACTTTTGGTATTTTTTGGTGCCCACTTTTTTCACCTCCTATTTCCATACAACGTATTACCAAATTTGTAAAGAAACTTTTTTTTTTAAAATTTCAGAACAATTTTTAAATTTACAGAAAAGCCATAAAGATAGTACAGAGTATTCCACGTCCCCCCTACCCTGGGCTACCTACCCTGGTTCCCTCCACTGTGAACAGCTTACATTGCTACTGGGTGCACTGGGTCTCTAGGGCTACCACAACAAAGTACCACAAACTGGGTGGCGTCAAATGCAGGAAGGTACCCCCCAAGACCACGCTGGGAGGAAGGGAGAGGACGTGAGGTGGAAGTTCCCCAGCAGGCCCAACCTCCAAAGCACCGCCAGGAGTGAATGGGCTTAGACCTGGGTTCGGGGGTGATTCAAAGGCAGGGACTGGGTCTACCTTCAGACCTCATGCTGTGCCCTGGGCCGGGGCGGGACCAGGCAGGGAAGCCGGTGCAGAGCCACTCACTGTGGCAGGTCCACTGTCTGAGCAGATGGCCAAGCTGATGCTGCAGCATGCGGAGACACGGCTCCGGGAGGACAGGTCCAGGAAGCAGCTGGTGGAGCAGGTGATAGAGGGGCAGAAGAACGTCAAGGCCGCCCAGACGAAGCTCGCGAAGGGCCGACGGCAGACAGGTAGTCAGGAGCCAAGTGTCACTGGCCCGGCCCCGTTCTTCCCCACTCAGGTGCTAGGCTACCACCCTTTCCTCAGCCAGCTACTATAGCTGTCAAGGGTCACGGGGCCCCTTAAGGGAGGTACTCCCAAGTGGCCGCACTGAGGCCAGGGGCCTGGCTGGGGAACCCTGGGGGAGGTGCCTCCCTGTCCAGCGCCTGCCCTGACACCCACCGGCCACCTCAGCTCCTGGCTTGGCCCCCAAGTTCAGGAGGTGATTGAGGAGAGTCGGGGGCTGCTGCGGCGCAGGGCGCAGGTGGCCCAGGAGGAGCAGCGGCGCCGTTGTGAACTCATCTCCCAGCTGCGCGCACTCGAGACGCAGCCCACGCGCAAGGGCAAGCTCGTGGACCTGACCCAGGTGAGGACACAGTCCTGGACAGGCCCATGCCTCAGGGAGCCTCCGTGCTGGCACTGCCATGGGAGGCAGTTTCCAGAGTTCCCACCAGTGCCACAGGTGGGTCTTGCACCACCTGAAACCTGGCCTGCCACCCTCAGTGACTTAGCACCCATGTGGCGCGGGCCTGGGTCTGGTCCTAAGACTTCACAATCCCGCAGGTGAGACAGACACTGAGCCAGTCCTCTGTAACCCCTGGGGGTGGCCAAGGTGGGCTTCACGGAGGAGACCACTTAGGAGCTGCCTGTTGAGGGAGGGCCAGGGTGGAAAGGGCAGTGTAGGGAGAGGGCAGGTGTTCAAAGGCTGGATGGAGGCTGGATGGAGCAGGAGGTTGAGGAGGGTCTGCTAGAAGCCCGTGTGAGAAGGCATGATGAGGGGCCAGGCCTCAGAGGAGCACGGGGAGGGGCCAGGCCTCAGAGGAGCACGGGGAGGGGCCAGGCCTCAGAGGAGCATGGGGAGCCAGCTGCAGGGCCTGGCCCAGCCCCAAGGCCATGGAGAGTGCAAACGGCTGTCTGCCCCAGGCCCCGAAGCCTGGCTGGGGAGATAGTCATGAGCTCCATTTGGGACTTGCCACAGTGGAGGGGCCTCAGTCCAGCTGAGACGTGCAGACCCACACAAGGTATAGCGTTGCAGAGCAGAGCCCAGGCTGGAGAGGCTGGGGGCATGTTTCATAAGCAGTGTTGGAGCAGAGGGAAGGTGGGCAAGGGGTGGGCCCATGGAGCAGGGGAGGGATCCTGGTGGGAAGCATCAGGGCCCAGCTTGGGGCCTCCCCTACCACCCCATAGACCCCTGGCTATGGCCTGGAAGGAGAGATGTCCATAGTGGAGCTGCGGGAGCGGCTGGCCCTGCTCAAAGAGAATCAGCAGCGCAAGGAAGAAGAAAAGCGGGATCAAATCATTCAGGGCAAGCGCACCAAGAGCCAGGAACTGCAGAACACGGTGGAGCAGATCTCGCTGTGCCGTGCAGCCATGGGGAGATCCGCAGCCTTGAGGTTGGTACTGGGCTTGGGGAGGGTGCCTCTGGGTGGACAGTGAGCAGTAAGCCTGCCTTGTACCCTCCTGGGTGGGTCTCCTTGAAACAACCCGCCACCCTCCTGCCCAGGAAGTTCCTTGCCATAACTCCCCTCACCCCTATTATTGTATTAGGTGACTTCCAGGCACATGGGAATGGTGCAAAATTCTGCTTCCATGGTTTAGATGCCATGACCTAGATGCGGTCATTTTTGCACCCAGCTCATGGGTCCAACCTTTCACCATATGTGCTTCACGTAGCCAGCTAGCTATTTATGTCTGCAGAAGCATTTGGAAGTAGCTGCAGGAATCAGACACTTTACTCTTAAACACTTCAGCATCTAAAAAAAAAGATCGTCCTACATAAAACCACAGCACCCTGACACCAATAGAAAATTGAAAAAAATTCCCAACATCATCTAAATATCTCATTTTTTTTTCACATTTCTCCAGGTGTCCAAAGACTGTTGGCCAACTGTGTTTTTTTGTTTTTTGTTTGAGATGGAGTCTTGCTCTGTCACCAGGCTGGAATGCAGTGGCACAATCTCAGCTCACTGCACCCTCTGCCTCCCAGGTTCAAGCCTCAGCCTCCCAAGTAGCTGGGACTACAGGAGTGTGCCACCATGCCTGGCTTTTTGTATTTTAGTAGAGATGGGGTTTCACCATGTTGGCCAAGATGGTCTCAAACTCCTGACCTCATGATCCGCCTGCCTTGGCCTCCCAAAGTGCTGGGATTACAGGCGTGAGCCCAGCCTGGCTAACATTTTTTAAAGACTGCTGCTGTAATTTTTTTTTTTTCTTTTTAAACCAGGATCTAGTTGAGGGTGGCAGACAGCTCGTGTGCATACACACACATACAGATGCCTTTTTACTTGTTGGGGGGACAGTCTGGTGATGTTTTTTAGCCCCTTGTGGCTATCCCCTGGCAACCAGGTCAGACATGGGCAGGCATGTCCCCTGGCCCTGGGGTCAGGCTGGTCTCTGGACCCTGGCCTAGTTCCCAGGGAGGCCCAGCTGTTGTAGCAGAGCCTCGTTTGGAGCCTGGCATACAGGGCTCCAGAGAAAGTTTCTGAGTGGGACTGGGTGGGGTGGATGACAGGGCAGACAGAAGGAAGGACTAATCATTGCTGATGGAAGAGAACCCTTCACTATTGGTCCTTAGAGGGGCTGCTGCTCTGGCTGCAATTCAGAGGAGGCACAGGGCAACCGCTGCTGGTGCTGTTCAGGGCTGGCTGGCTGCCCACCAGATCCCCAAGGTGGCAAACACCTGGACAGCTCTCACTTCCAGCTGCTGGCCACGGCCTGGCAGAGCTCAGATGCAGCCTGGTTGGTGTCAGGGTGCCTCCAAAGGTCTACTTCCTGCTAAAAAAGTTAGAGCAGGGCTCAGGAATGCACTCAGGCCCCAGGCCATAAATTCACCAGGGGCGACCTGGACAGTCAGACAAGAGTGGTGGAGACGGGGGAACAGCACATGCAAATACCCCAAGGCTGTGAGGACCCCGGACGCCAAAGCCAGCAGGGAACAACATATACCATCAGAAGGATCAAGGGCCATGTCTGCAGATACCTGTGGAGATGCACACCACAGCACCACAGCACCACAGCGTTAGCAGGGAGTACCTCCAGGCAAGAGACAAGAGAGTGTGAGGTCAAAGGGGGCTTTCACATTTGTACCCCAGTTATGCATATAGTTAGTACACCTGTAATACCTTTTTAAAAAATGTTAAGTTTTTAAAAAGCTGCCAGGCGCCGTGGCTCACGCCTGTAATCCCAGCATTTTGGGAAGCTGAGGTGGGAGGATTGCTTGAGCCTGGGAGGTCAAGGCTGCAGTGAGCCATGATCGTGCCACTGCACTCCAGCCTGGGCGACAGTGAGACCCTGCCTCAAACAAACAAACAAACAACAACAACAAAAATTTTTAAAAAGAAAAAAAGAGCAAAAGGGTAGAAGTGCTGGAGACCCCCCACCCCCAGCCCCTGCGCGGTGGTCCTGTCTGGGAGCGCACCGCGGCCCCTGGGCTTCGCTGTCTGTCCTAAATTATTCCGGTGAACCTCTCCGGCCGCGTAGCTCCTTGTCCCCGCGTCGCTTGGACACAGGTGGCATCATGGGTCTGGCCTGGGCCTCCCGGCGGCCTGTTTCTGAGGCCGCCGCGTCGCCTGCCAGGTGGGAGGAGAAGAAGGCCCTTGCGGCGGCCCCGGAGGCGCCCTCGCAGGACGAGCGCGTGCAGCAGCTGCGGCGCAGGATCTCGGAGAGGGCGGCCGAGCGCAGCAGGCAGGCGGCCTTGCTGCACGTGTCGGCGCCGCGGGCCGCGGGCCCCAAGCCCCGCGTGAGTCCGGGTTGGTGGGAGGAGCCCGGGCGACTGAAAGCCGGGGCCGGGTGGGGATGGCGGGCGCGGCGCGCAGGGACCGGCGTCGAGGAAGGGGGGATGGCGGGGAGATCCGCTCCGGGCCGCAGCCAGGAGCTACTCAGAGGCGGGCGCGGGAGGCGGTGGGGGGCGTCCCTGCCCGCGCCGACGCGTTCTCCGACCTGCAGGCGCAGCTAGAGGCGCAGCACTGGCTGGAGCTGGAGCGGAGCCGCGAGCGCAGGCTGCAGGCGCTGCAGCAGGGAGGCTCCGGACCGGGGCCCGCGCGCCGCCTAGAGGCCGCCTGAGCCGGGCAGAGCGCGCCCCAGCCGCTTTCGGGCCACCCCCACCCCCACCGCCCCAATAAAGCGTGCGGCCCGCGGTGCGCGCCTCCTCTTCCTTGGCCGGGACCCCCTTGGCCCCGCTGCACCTGCCCCCGCACCCCTCTCCCTCCCTAGCCCCCATCTGCCCAGAAAAGGATTGCCAGATAAAAAGGCAGGACGCCCAGTTACTGCGTGGGGGCAAACTTATGCTAAAAATGTATCCTCTCCTTATCGGGAATTCAACTTAACTGGGCGTCCTGCAATTTTATAAGCGAAATCTAGCCACCCCGGCCCAGGTCCTAGCACTTCCCTACAGCCTAGCACAAGGCATTCCTGGTGCCCACCTCTTGGAACTCCCAGAACTCCTTCGGATGTGGAAATCTGGAACCCCCACCCTTTGCTGGCATCCAGGTGGCTTCACCTAGGGAACCCCCAAGACTGAGTGGTGACTGTCAGTGTGCGTTTGGCTAGGGAAGTGGCCAGGATTCTTGAGCGCCAACGTTGCACTGGCCCTTCACGCACCTCCACCCACCTCCACCATCCTCACTACCGTCCAGGGACCTAGGAACTGGCCTGCCCCTGTTCTGCTGATGAGGCCACAGGTGCTCAGAGAGGCGATGTGACCTGCCTAGAGGGCCAGAACCCAGAGCTGGGCCTGGGTGACTTTAGAGCACCCCCTCCTCCCCTTTCTCTAGCATCAGAAGCAACCCAGATCCAACAAGATCAGGTCCACTGGAGACAGGACTTCACCCAGGGCAGGGACCAAGATGGATTGGTTCTGCAGTGTCCTGGGACCCCGTGGGCTAGAGAGGGTTCCACCCTGAGGACAGGCTTGCTGAGTGAATGCCTGCTGGTGAAAGTCAGCCTCAAGAAGAAAGTACATTAAGCCATCTTCTTCCCAGGAAAGAGAGAAGAGGGTCAAGTCCGTGGGGTGGTGAGCAGTAAGGGGTTGGGGAGTGGAAACTAACAGATTTAAGATAGATGTCCAGGGGAGATATGTTTCCACCCCCAACTCCCAATATTCTCCTTGGGCCTGCAGAGGAGATGGCACCTCAGATGAGGAGGCTGAATCCCAGGGTATACTCAGCCCAGGAAGGCAGGCATCTTGGCAGTGACAAGAACAGACTAAAGGACCAGAGCCCTACTCCAATATTCTGAGTTTGTGAGAACCCCAGCATTTTACCACCCAGGTGGGTAGGGAGAAGAATGTCCACCTCTCTGTAGAATTGCAGCTGGGAGCAGATTAAATTTTATTTAAAGAAATAAACATTGGCTGGGCAAGGGGGCTCAAACCTGTAATCCCAGCACTTTGGGAGGCTGAGGCAGATGGATCACCTGAGGTCAGGAGTTTAAGACCAGCCTGGCCAACATGGCAAAACCCCGTCGCTACTAAAAATACAAAAAATTAGCTGGGCGTAGTGGCGGGTGCCTGTAATCCCAGCTACTCGGGAAACTGATGCAAGAGAATCGAATTGCTTGAACCCAGGAGACGGAGGTTGCAGTGAGCTGAGATTGCACCACTGCATTCCAGCCTGGTGACAAGAGCAAAATGCCATCTCAAAAAAAAAGAAATAAACATTGCTCACATTCTGTGTTGTGTGATCCAAACCCACTTAATTTGATATTGACGGAATACATTGATGATGCCTGGCCCAGAGAGCCCCTCTGAGTTCTGGGGGTTTCAAAGGGGGATTTATTAGCTCTCATAATGCCAATCCAAAGGTGGCAGACTTCACGATGTGCCAGATCCAGTCTGGTAGCAGTTCCAGCCTGAGGGACAAAGAACAGTTGCCCCAGTCTCACTGGCCTGAATTGAACATGCTTGTGCTGAGCCAGTTCCTGCTGTGGGGGAAGGTCTGCACGGGTGCCTGAAGCACGGTGGCAAGGCGGGGAATCACCCTTCACCTAGGAGGTTGGCCTCAGGAGCAGAGGGGGGATGTGGCAGCTAACAAACTGAGGGTACTATTGGCAACACTGTTGGTTGGCAGGTAACAAGGTCCTCCCCTGTCCCCTCCTGGACTGAGCAGCTGCTTAGAGCTAGCTTGAGAGCACCTGGGGCCTCTCCTCATACAAACCTAGGTGGGAGCAGGCCTGGGACCACTCCCTAAAGTTGTGGCCTGGGAGTAGGCATCGTGTGATAGACAAAAAGTCTATCACAGCAAAAAGTCTGTGTATCCCGGCCCCTTGCCGTGTGACTTTACACCTCCCACCAAGAGGCGGAGTCTATTTCCCCCAGCCCTTGCATCTGGTCCGGCCTAGTGACTTTCTTTGGCTAATAGGGTGCAGCAGAAGTAACCATGTGTCAGTTCTGAGTCTGGGCCTCAGGTGGCCTTTGAGTTCCCAGGGAACCTTGCCCAGGCCCCATGTGAGCATGACTAGGGTGGCCTGCTGGGATCAGACACCATGTGGAGGAGAGCCCGTTATCTCAGAGGCCATCCTAGAGCTGCAGAGCACAAAATGAGAGCAGACGGACAAGAACCTCCTCCAGCCCCACTGTCTTGTAGATTCATGAGCAACAATAAATGTCTATCGTTCAAAGTACCAAGCTTTGGGGTGGTCTGTTCCAGAGAAATAGCTAAGGGACACACCCTTAAGGGCCCAGGGCCTTCACAGTGGGGGCCCCTGCCTCCCCTCCCTGCAAAAGCTCTTTACAGAAAATCAAGCTACTCCCCCAAAGGGGGCCAGCCAGAGTGAGATAGGACCCAGCTAGTGCTGACAATCCCTCTCTGAACCTTTCCTGGCCGGACTGCCTGGGGAGTGGACACTTTGCCTGAGTACAGGCTAGTCAGAAGGTCCTATGCACAGCATCTGAGACCCACTTGGGCAGGGGCTTTCTTTGGAAATAGTGAAGAAAGCAGATTCAGTATCTGGTGTGAGGCCCCGGAACCTGCATTCAGCTGGTTTCCACATGTGGGACTACGGGAGCACCAAGGTGCCAGTCTTTTCGCCAAGCTGCAGGTGTTCAGGGCCCAAGGGAAGCGCTATTTGTGAAGGAACAAGTTCAGTGCAAGTGAGGCTTGGAGAAGACTTAAAGGCAGCTTTTGTTTGTTTTTGTTTTTGAGGCAGGGTCTCGCTTTGTCACCCAGGCTGGAGTGCAGTGACGTGATGATAGCTCATACAGTTTTAAACTCCTGGGCTCAAGTGATCCTCCTGCCTCATCCTCCCTACTAGCTGGGACTACATGCACTTACCACCAAACCCAGCTAATTGTTTATTTTTAGTAGAGATGAGGTCTCACTGTGTCGCCCAGGCTGAAGGCAGCCTTTGAGCATGAAACTGGTATTTGTAGAGACTTTCAACATCACATGTTCAATGTATTACAGTTACAAACAGAAAACCCTAACTTTTCCTTAGGCTGTAAAATACAAATTACTAATATTACCCTTTCTTTTTTTTTTTTTTTGAGACGGCAGTCTCGCTGCTGTCGCCTCAGGCCCTGGAGCTGCAGTGGCCGGATTCTCTGCTCCTGCCACTCGCCTCTCCGTTAATCACAGCCATTCTCCGTGGCCTCAGCCTCCCGAGTAGCTGGGAGTACAGCGCCGCTGCACCTCACCCGGCTAGTTTTTTTTGTATTTTTTAGTAGAGACAGGGTTCACCGTGTGCCAGGATGGTGTCGATCTCCTGACCTTGTGATCCGCCCGTCTCGGCTCCCAAAGTGCCTGGGATTACAGGCTTGCAGCCACCGTGCCCGCCATATTACTCTTTCTAAATCTGATTTTTTTTTTTTTTTTTTTTGGAGAGAGAGAGAGAGAAGGTCTAATTCTGTCACTCAGGCTGACATGCAATCACAGCTCACTGCAGCCATGACCTCCTGGGCTCAAGCAATCCTCCTGCTCCCAGCCTCCTGAGTAGCTGGGACCACAGGGACATGCCACCACACCCGGATAATTTTTTTTTTTTTTTTTTTAGGTGGAGACGGGTTTTACCATGTACCCAGGCCTATCTATAAACTCCTCAGCTCAAGCAATTCCTCCACCTCACCCTCCGAAAACGTGTAAGATCTACAGGCGATGGCCGGGTTGGTGGCTCACGGCTGTAATCCCAGCACTTTGGGAGGCTGGCGGGCGGATCACGAGGTCAGGAGATCCCAGACAATCCTGCTTAACACGGTGAAACCCTGTCTCTACGAAAATACAGAAAAATTTAACCGGGCGTGGTGGCGGGCGCCCTGTAGTCCCATCTAACTCGGGAGGGCTGAGGCAAGAAATGGCATGACCTGGGAGAGGAGAGCTTGCAGTGAGCCGACATCATCCACTGCACTCCGCCTGCGTGACAGATCTGTCTCAAAAAAAAAAAAAAAAAAAAAGATTATAGGTGAGAGCCACCATGCCCAGCCCAAATCTGATCATTTTTAACCACTATTTTGATTAATCATGTACGGCTCCATTTATGAACTGAAATTCTCTTAAACATTTTCAACTGCATTTATACATGTAGAATCTAATTTTATTCTTTAGCATTTTAGTTGTCTGCCTTATCAAGTATTAATATTTAAATAATTCTCATAGGTATATTAAATGTCTACATTTCTCTTAAACTTTTAAGTTCTCTTTGTTCCAATTATAATCACAAACTTTGGAAAATCTTATACCTTTCAACTTACAATCACTATCAAAAATCGAATACCTAGGGCAGGGTGTGATGGTTCATGCCTGTAATCCCAACACCTTGGGAGGTCGAGGCAAGCAGATAGCCTGAGCCTGGGACTTCAAGACAAGACTGGGCAACATGGCAAAAGCCAGTGTCCACAAAAAAAAAAAAAAAAAAAATTAGCCAGGCGTGGTGGCACACACCTGTGGCCCCAGCTACTTGGGAGGCCAAGGTGGGTTGATCATCTAAACCTGGGGAGGCCAAGGCTGCAGTGAGGCATGATCGTGCCACCGCACTCCAGCCTGGGTGACAGAGTGACACCTCGTCTCAACACACACACACAAATACTTAGATATTTTACATGAGAATTAGATTTATCTATCAGATACTCTACC